AATTTAAAAACCAAAAAAAATTAAATATCTTTTTTTTTCAACTTAAAAAAAATCCCTAAAAAAAAAATTTTTGTTTTAAAAAGTCAAAATTTCTTTTTGCAAACAAAATTGTTTTATTAATCATATGGTAGATTTTTATAATTGATTTTTTCTAAAAAATTTTTTCCCACAATTCCCTTAAAGGGAAAACACATTGAAAAAGCCCCCCCAACAGGTTCTTCACAAGGGAAAAAAGAGAACAAGGGTAGAAAGTATTAAACAAAAAATATGTTTGAAAACATGTATGCCCCCCATCGGCAGCCAATTTGTATGTGATCAGGTTATTATGCATGACTTCTGACCAAATAACCAATTAAAAGGGTTACGTTTTCTTACTTGGCATACTAGTCACAAGGGAATATAATTGTGACCCCTATTGTGTGAGCCAATTTTTAATTATAAAAAATCTTCCAAAAAATTATCATAAATTTTTGAATCATTAGGCTATTTAAAGACAGCACAAGTTGGTTATATTACATAAGACCTTCAAATGTGTATACCAAAAAACATTTTTTAGTTTAAATAAAAAATATCAACCAAGGCTAACTTAAAGTTGTTGAGTTATTGGTCAGAAACCGTCATTAAAGTACAAGGTCAATATGACATTGACCCCTTGACCCCAAAATCAATAGGGGTCATCATACTGGTCATGACCAATCATCATACCAAGTTTGAAGTTTCTAGGCTAAGCATTCATTTAGTTATTGATCAAGAAACCATTTTTAACCTACAAGGGTCAAATGTGACCTTGACCTTCGGGACCCTTGACCCCAAAAATCAATAGGGGTCATCTCTGGTCATGAACCAATCACCATGCCAAGTTTGAAGTTTCCTAGGCCGAAGCGTTCTTTAGTTATTGATCGGAAACCGTTTTTACTTACAAAGTCAATGTGACCTTGACCTTTGACCCCTTGATCCTAAAATCAATAGGGGTCATCTGCTGGTCATGACCAATCACCATATCAAGTTTGAAGTTCCTAGGCCTAAGCCTTCTTTAGTTATTGATCAGAAACTGTTTTTACTTACAAGGTCAATGTGACCTTGACCTTCGACCCATTCACCCAAAATTAAATAGGGGTCATCTGCTGGTCATGACCAATAATCATACAAAGTTTGAAGTTCCTAGGCCTAAGCCTTTTCAGTTAATTGATCGGAAACCGTTTTTACCTAAGAGGTCAATATGACCTTGACCTTTTAACCCCCTTGACCCCAAAATCAATAGGGGTCATCTACTGATCATGACCAATCACCATATCAAGTTTGAAGTCCCTAGCCCTAAGGGTTCTTTAGTTATTGATCGGGAAGCCGTTTTTTTACTACAAGGTCAATGTGACCTTGACCCTTTTGACCCTTGACCCCAAAATCAATAGGGGTCATTTACTGATCATAACCAAATCACCAATACCAAAGTTTGAAGTTCCAGGCCTAAGGGTTTCTTTAGTTATTGATCGGAAACCGTTTTTTTTGCTTAATAAGGGTCAATGTGACCCTTTGACCTTTCGACCCCCAAATCAATAGGGGTATCTATGGTCATGACCAACACCATACCAATTTTTGAAGTTCCTAGGCCTAAGGGCTCTTTAGTTATCACTCGGAAACCATTTGGTCTACGGACCGACAGACCGACAAGTGCAAAGCAATATACCCCCTCTTCTTCGAAGTGGGGGCATAATAAAAACAACATCATCTTTTTACAAAATTTTATGCCCTCCTTTTTTCTGATCCTGTAACTTAATTAACTCTCTAAGTAACCTGCCAATACTTAGCAGTGAAAATGCATTATACTGCATTATACTGACAACAAGAGTTGTATCCCTTAGTATACTTACAACAAGAGTGATGTCCCTTAGTTTTCCAATTCCCATGTTGATCCCTTTATATGGCTCCACTGGGACTTTAATATTTACAAGATAGTAGTCATGATGGACACTGCCAAGCTCAAAGAATGACAGTGGGTCACAATCGTATGCATAGCCATTTTCCTTCTAAAATGGGGAAAAAAACAAAAGCCAACGGCTGGAATTATAACATAAATTTTACTGTATCACTCCAATAACAAGGCCAATACAAATATCACTTTTATTAAATTTTACTGGATCACTCCAATAACAAGGCCAATACAAATAACACCTTTTATTCTATTTTTTTTAAACGAAATATACATTTAAAATGTGTTATTGTCATTGATATCTTTCATCATTCTGTATAGGATCTATGACACTTAAAACCTATAATTTACAATTACGGGGTTTAAGTGGTTTAAGTGCCGGCCTCTAAACAACTGGTCATGGGTTTGAGCTTACATGTCAATACACTCAAACTATTATACCTTTCCCTCCATTTTACAGTTCAGATTACGTTCCTCGAGGGATTTCGCTAGTTCCTTCCAGTCGTTAACATCATCGTCTTTGTTTCTGTAGCCTATCCTGGCGTCAAGTTGAATGGTAGCATCCTCTTCTGTAAGATAAAAGTTCAAAATGAGGCACAAACATTAACGAAAGAAAAATTTAAAAATTAATAATCCTGACTGATCAGTACTTTAGAAATTGTTTATTTTATTCTGGTACAATGTAATAAGTATTTACACCTGTTTTCACACATAATATAGTATTATAGTCATTTCTAGGCAGTTGGTCCACCTAACCTGATACGCTTGATAACTTACCAATTATTAACAATATTTGCACAATTTACCGACTACGTATCCCTGAATCAATGCTGCGAAACATATGACCATCAGACTCAATGTCTGAGATCCACTGTCATGGGGAAATTTCTACTTACTAGCACTATGCTATGTCAATTGAAGTATGAGTAATTTTCTATGCTTATTTAATTCAGCTTTCATCTAAAATGACATTCATAACATCAAAATGATTTACATGAGGGTAAAAATAAATTAAACTAAAATGTTATGTACAATTCCGATTCTGTTTTGTAAATGAAAGCATCTTCGATCTTTGCCACATAATAATTTTTTTTTATTATTAATAAATTGCATGGAATTATTGATAAACAAACAGGGGTGTCTGCGACAGAGTGGTTAACCTTGTAGAAACTAATACTATCGCTGAATGCAATTCATACCCCAACAAATGTCCTTGACAGAGGACGACTTGGAAAGGTGGTTAAGGGAATAACTTAAGTGGCATAAATACATAAAAAGAAATTATCTCTGGTGAAAAAAAGACTAATTGTACAGGTAATAGTTTAAATATCTATTATCAAATCATGTTCGAAACAGTTACAAATAACCTTTCATTTTACCAATATACTAAACTTTTTATAAGTCAATTTTTGACCTTCAAGTGTGGCCTTGACCTTAAGCTGGCATAAGGGTAAAATGGGTTCTGCACATCGCCCAATTGGGGTGAACATTTGAGTAAAGTTTGAAGAAAATCCTTCCATTAGTACAGAATTTATAGAGCGGACACAACATAAATTATTGTCTAGTATTGATTGTATGTAAATTTAAAGACTTAAAAAGGGGCATAACTTTGTCAAAATGCAATACAGAGTTATGAAACTTGACCTGCATATCGTAATTGTGACACCTCATATATCTTTTAAGTTTCAAGCAAATACCTGTGCTAGTTTTTTTTAGAAATATTCAAGTACATGTTAAAATTTAAGAACATTTTCTAAGTCAATTTTTGACCCTCAAGTGTGACCTTGACCTTTAGCCTGCACAAAGGTGACATGGATTCTTCTAGGTGAACATTTGAGTAAAGTTTGAAGAAAATTCTTCCATTAGTATAGGATTTATAGAGCGGACACGACATATTGTCTAATATGTGATTGTATGTAAATTTTAAGATTAAAAAGAACTGTCGGAGGACAGTAACGCTCGACTATTCGAAAATTTGTCACAAGGGTGTTTCATTGAGTATAATAATGCTTACCTATATGAATACATAAAATTGTACGAAAAGGTACAAACCCTTCAAGTTTCAATACAATCACAGAGAACAAGTGTGTGAAGTTTCAATCCATTCCCTTCAGTAGTTATGGAGATACCAGCTTACACACAAAAACTTAACCAAGAATTTCTAAGATAAAAAGGGGCATAATTATGCAAACAAGAGCTGTCCGTAAGACAGCGCGCTCGACTTTTTTATTGCTTGCCAATAAAAAAAGTTTTTGCAGTAAAAGGCAATACAAGAATCTCTGTATTTTTAAAGTGAACAATGGCCATGAGCATTAAGATATTTAGTGAAGAATTATTTTACTGAATTGTGTGATACCCTTGAAAACTGCAGCAAAGTTTGAAATGTTTAAGTCAAAAGAGGGCTGGTAAGAAAGAAAAAAAAAACTGAGTTGAGCCTTAAATAAATTTAATAGTATTAAACCCACTTTGAGAGAATAAGGTATTTTTACGTCACTCAGAACACCTTGGTAAATGACATAATAACATAATTTTTCAAGAAATCTATGCCAAGGAAGCAGTATATTTTTGTACAATCAGCATAATATATAGATTTGACTTTGTATGTGAAAGTATTATAGTTACCTTATAATACAAGTAATAGATAAATTTTATCAAGCTTTTTTAGATGTTGTCAGTTGGTCACAAGTGGATCTCTTTCACACAGGCTGTGGGTGACTGGTTACTTTTCGTGGGTCCACTATGTAGATAATGCGTTGTATTAAGGCCTTAATTTTTAAAACAAATCCTTGACAGAGTTACCTTCTCTTGCGTACAGATGGGGGTAATGATGTGAAATAGCATTAAAAGTTTCAAAGCAATATCTCAAAGGGTTAAGGCAATAAGTGGATTTTACCCATATTCAATGTATTTTCTAAGTCAAAAAGGGGCATAATTCTGTCAAAAACCTTGACAGAGTTATGTCCTTTTGTCTGTTGATGAAGGTCGTGATGGTAAACAAGTATGGTCAGTTTCAAAGCAATACCTCCAATGGTTTTGAAATAAAGTGAGGTGGTACAAAAAACTTAACCAAGCTCAATACACTTTCTAAGTCAAAAAAGGGCCATAATTCTGTCAAAAACCTTGACAGAGTTATGTACTCTTGTCTGTAGATGGAGGTTATGATGGTGAACAAGTATGGTAAGTTTCAAAGCCATACTTGTAATACTTCTGAAATAAAGTGGGGTGGTACGAAAAACTTAACCAAGGTGTGACGCCAACGCCGACGCCGACGCCGGGGCGAGTAGGATAGCTCCCCTTTTCATAGAAAAGTCGAGCTAAAAAGCAAATCAGAGTTATGGGACTTGTGCCAATCATCTTAGATAATCACAGAGAACAAGTCTGTGAAGTTTCAATCCATTCCCTTCAGTAGTTATGGAGATACAAGCTTACACACAAAAACTTAACCACGAATTTATGAATCGAAAAAGGGGAATAATTATGCGAAAATGTATATCAGAGTTATGGCACTTGTGCCAATCATCTTAAATAATCACAGAGACCAAGTGTGTGAAGTTTCAATCCATTCCCTTCACTAGTTATGGAGATACCAGCTTACACGCAAAAACTTAACCAAGAATTTCTAAAATAAAAAAGTGGCATAATTATGCAAAAAAGCAAATCAGAGTTATGGGACTTGTGCCAATCATCTTAGATAATCACAGAGACCAAGTGTGTGAAGTTTCAATCCATTCCCTTCAGTAGTTATGGAGATACCTGCTTACACGCAAAAACTTAACCAAGAATTTCTAAGTCGAACAAGGGGCATAATTATGTAAAAAAGCAAATCAGAGTTATGGGACTTGTGCCAATCATCTTAGATAATCACAGAGAACAAGTGTGTGAAGTTTCAATCCATTCCCTTCAGTAGTTATGGAGATACCAGATTACATACAAAAACTTTACCAAGAATTTCTAAGTCGAAAAAGGGGCATTTTTATGTAAAAAAGCAAATAAGAGTTATGGGACTTGTGCCAATCATCTTAGATAATCACAGAGAACAAGTGTGTGAAGTTTCAATCCATTCCCTTCAGTAGTTATGGAGATACCAGCTTACTTACAAAAACTTAACCACAAATTTCTAAGTCGAAAAAGGGGCATAATTTTGTAAAAAAGCAAATCAGAGTTATGGGACTTGTGCCAATCATCTTAGATAATCACAGAGAACAAGTGTTTGAAGTTTCAATCCATTCCCTTCAGTAGTTATGGAGATACCAGCTTACATACAAAAACTTAACCAAGAATTTCTAAGTCGAAAAAGGGGCATAATTATGTAAAAAAGCAAATAAGAGTTATGGGACTTGTGCCAATCATCTTAGATAATCACAGAGAACAAGTGTGTGAAGTTTCAATCCATTCCCTTCAGTAGTTATGGAGATACCAGCTTACATACAAAAACTTAACCACAGGGACGCCGACGCCGACGCCAACACCGACAAATGGGTGACTGCATTAGCTCGATTATTCTACGAATAGTCAAGCTAAAAAGGGGCATAACTTTGTTAAAATGCAATACAGAGTTATGAAACTTGACCAGCATATCTTAATTGTGATACTTCATATATATTTTCAAGCAAATACCTTTCCTAGATTCAGAAATATTCAGATATATGTTAAGATTTAAGAACATTTTCTAAGTCAATTTTTGACCTTCAATTGTGACCTTGACCTTGAGCTGACACATGGGCAACATGGGTTCTGCACATCCCCTTGTTGAGGTGAACATTTGAGCCAAGTTTGAATAAAAAATCTTTCAATTAGTGTAGGACTTACAAAGCGGACATGACATACTGTCTAATATTTGATATTTGACCTTCAATTGTGACCTTGACCTTAAAAATACATAACTAAAAATACAGTAAAACAGGAAAGAAGATTTATTAAGAAGATGTTTTACAATTTATTTTTCAATCTAAAATAGCCCTTAATCAACTGAAAATTTGCACAAATAATAACTGTTGATTTTAATCAATTGCTACTATCATTTCATCATGTATATGTATACACAACTCTGAAATAACCTATGCAAGTAAAAGCAGTTTTACTTCGGCAGAGTATCTTTTTTAAAAGCTCTGGTGGCCTTTTTGTGCAGCAGAGCGGAACGTACAGGCCATATGCACAATTAGATATAACCACTAAGAAACATTTTACATTTTGAGAAATAGTGAACTGTTATAACTTTTGAGTTTAAAATCGTATGACATTTTACGGTCATGCATAACATAGTTTATCAAGTACTTTAAAATTTCTTAAAACTCCTGTAATGCCAAAAAGAAAAAAATCCCTATTTAAGTCAGGGTCTTTTTCCAAAAACAGCTTGAAAATGTTCTAATATCATACTAACCAACTTCAACCTTTTCATCATATATAATATCAAGTTGTAACACGCCTATCATTGTCTGTTGCCAGCGACTAAAGTCCAGCTGCTTTCCCTCTCTCACATGTGGCATCCAAAACGCAAACACGATCTAGTCAAATAAAGAATGTTGTATACGTTTAACTGTATTATTATGTATAACTGTATTATTATATGAGTATCTTGATATGGACCTTGTATTTGGCTTCAGCAGACTTGTTTTGTCTTAATTATAGTGCAAAGCACTGAGCATAAACCAGTCTTGTATAATCCAAGAGGGCAAAATATAAGTAAGAAAGTAAGTAATGTAACGTAAGTGGGGCTTACACATTTGGTTTCCCAATATTCCATGTATGCCTTAGAAAGTCCAGATCAAGACCCTTTTATTACATGTTTATAATATAAATGAGCCGTGTCATGACAAAACCAACATAGTGCGTTTGCGATCAGCATGGATCCAGACCAGCCTGCGCATCTGCACAGTCGGATCAGGATCCATGCTGTTTGCTATCAGTTTCTCTACTTGTAATAGGGTTGGTAAGCGAACAGCATGGATCCTGATCAGACTGGGCGGATGCGCAGGCTGGTCAGGATTCATGCTGGTTTGCAAACACACTATGTTGGTTTTGTCGTGACACGGCTCATATAATACTCCCTCATACTTTTTTTCATAATACATGTACTGGTATTGCTATGGATTATGCATTTGGCTTATTTTACAATTTGTATAAGGTGCAAAGGGCTGAATGTTATCCAGTCTCAAAATATAAGATAGCCAAATGCAAGGTTAGATCAAGATTTTCATATACATGTAACCCTTTTATCATAGACCTTCTCATACTGGTACATTTATTGTAATTAATTAATCAATATATTCAGCCATTACTGATTTACTGAAGATGTCATTTAAAATGTCTACATCATCCCTGACCACACATGTAAAACTCAACCTACTGGTACAGCATGTTCTATATATTCATAAAGTATTATAAACTTCATAGGGTGAGAAAAATGTGCAGCCTGGCCAGGACTTGAACATGGGACCCTTGAAATAATATGTACCACAGCTCTACAGACTGAGCTATCCAGCTGCTTACACACTAATCTATCTCCCCTAATTAGTTTTACAGTTCAATACTGTGGCAAACTCCTTAAACTACTTTGAAATTTGTCCTAGAATTTCTAACGGGTACAAAGAACAATATGAAGTTGGGACAGTATTATATCATTACCGTCCAAAAGTCATAGGATGAGACAGATGTGCTGCCTGACCAGAACTCAAACCCGGGTATGGCTCTGATACCGACCTTGGCACTGCTGACCAAGCCACTTACACACTACACTGTATCTTCCCTAATTAGTGAACAGCTCAATACCATGACATTAGTAAATGATATATTTCTCCAAGTTTAAGTGGTGGCATGGCCTAGTGGTTAACACGTCAGACTAGTAATCTATTGATCACTAGCGGCACAGGTTTATAAACCCCATCAGGGGCAAGTCGTTGTTTCCTTGAGCAAGAAACTTTACACTCATTGCTCAGTACTGGTTGGTTCCAGCTAGGAACTGATTTGAAAGTGTGTCTATTAGTGATGGAAATCGGATGAAATTTGTCCCAATCGATCATCGGTTCAGTCGGATGGGACATAATCGATAACTTTCGAATAAAGTCGCGTTAAAAAGAAATATGGAAGTAACATTTCTTACCAAGGCACTTGATTATATTTAGTAACATGAACTTCATTTTGCACTTTTCAACACAGTTTTAACCTTATATAGTCATAATTTTACAAAATAAATTAAATTGTTCAATGGATGTCAAATAATACCATTCAAATCACATTATATTACTATTGTTTACATCACTTATTGATCCTGTTTAACTCACAATTGTCTCTGAGTGTTTTGTTTGCGATCGGCGAGGTGTTCCTAAAGGAAAATTACCGTCAGAATTAATTTATTCCCTTTGATACTTTAAACATTTTTGACGACGTCGCGGAACAAATTTTTGTGAATCGATTATTGTCGTTTTACATAACAGTAAGTGATTATCGGCGACTTGCGACAATCGGAACATCACTAGTGTCTATAAGCCTTTAACTTCTTACACAATTGAACTAAAATTATTTCTGTATAAACCAAAGAGGTTTAAGATATAAAGACAATGTAAAAGAAGCTTCGTTATTTACCTGGTTAGCTGAAGTTCTGTCGTCCTCGATCCCGGGAACGTCTAGATTATCATACTGTATACATTTTCTCGTGACCACCTCTAGGGTATAAACCCACTCTTTGTTTCCTATACCTCCCTCGTTCTTACAAATCGTACCAAGAACATTGATTACATTTGAAGGATTGGGTGCTGAAAAAATTAGAAAATTATGCTAATGACGGAGGTTACAAATAATATAATACAGTATTGGTTTTAATGTTTAACCTTCTAAATTTGAGCAATTGATTTGCCCAGTTTGGAACAGTCTGTTTAAGAAGACATGTAGAGATTAGCACCATGTTAACTTTTCATCCAACCAGGCTAAGATTATATTTTTGTCATGATGGGCTTTGTGAAATGTTGTTGTTTGTTTTTGTCCATAGTAATCATTGTAAATAACAGAAATAGAAGCCAACTGGCTTAAAATTTACACATTTGTTTTGTGTTGTTTTTTTTTCATTTAAAATTGTCTAAACATGGAAGGGGGTTTAAAAATGGTAAATATAAATGCTTTTATAAATGCGTTCAAACTTACATGGATAAGAAGAATTATTTCAAGTGATGGTTGTTGGATAAATATTTTAACACAGGGTATTGATGTACATAAATTAGTCACGTGTGGAAAGAATTATGTCAAGAAAATGTCAAAATCTATTAGAAATGAATTCTGGAAACACACTTTAAATGCATTTTCATTGTTTATTGAGCATCAGAAGTTTGATAAAGAAGACATTTGTAACTTACCTTTATTTTACAATCACAACATTAATATTGGTAATAAAAGTATTTTTTGGAAATCTTGGTATGATAAGGGAATTTGTTGTATTTATGATATCTTACAAGACAATGGCCAGTTTTATACACCAGGAAAATTAGACAAGATCTACAATATAAATATCAATCATCTTTTATATTTAGGAATTAAAAAAGCAGTTACAACCTTTTTTCAAAATGTCTGCTTCAACCCTTAAACTTTTAAGAGAGGAAAATTCCCAACAATTCCAAAACATCTTAAATGGATAATTAAAGACCAAAAAGTCTCAAAATTTATGTATGAATCGCTTAAAGTCAATTCCAGCAACCCTGTTTGTCAGGTCAAATGGTCACAAAAACTATGCCTCTCAAATGATGATGAATACTGGAAGAATATATATAATTTACCATTCAAATTGACAAAAGATACTTATATACATGTACGATGGTTCCAAGTAAGACTTATCCATAGGATTTTGGGTACAAATAATCTTTTGTTAAAAATGAAATATATATTAACAGTCCCTTATGTAGCCTTTGTAATCTTCATGATGAAACTATAGAACATATCTTTTGGGAATGCATTCACAGCAATAAACTAATACGCGAAATTTGTATAGATAAACTAAACATGCCAAACTTAAATAAAGAAACTATGCTTTTTGGTTATACTAAAGGAAGCAATACAATAAATATTGTAAACAATTTAGTTCTTTTATATATGTCAAAATGTATATTTTTAAATGTAAAACTAATAAAACAATGCTATCTTTTTCTGGTGCTATAAAGTATATTTCATATGTTCTAAAGGTAAATGAAGAAAAAGCTATCCAATGTGGAAATCTTCACCAATTTAAAAAAGACTGGCATACGTACTATTTTAAATACAAAATGTATATGTCATTAATTAATCATAATATAATAGAGACCTATCCAAATGTTTTGTTCCAATCTGATAATGATAGATGTGAATCATCAAAATACTTTTTCCTATGTTGATGTTAGGAGCGACCTTTGTCTTTTCAGTTTTCATACCGAGCTGTGTTTGAGCATACATGGAAGAATAAATTCATGTTTGTAGTATTTTTGAACGTGCCCTGGCCGCAAAGTATCTGTCTTTGATGTTTTTGTTGTGTTATATTGTTGGTTTCTTTTGAAAATAATCATCTTTTTCGTCTGACTATTTATTCTATCGTCAAGCCTCGTAGCTAACGCCATTAGTATCATTAGTTTGTGTATTACTCATAAATATAGAAAAAAGTAATTATGTTATTGTTTGAGGCATAATGTAGATGTAGTAATATTTTTCTATGTCTTGAATTTATAACCTCCTTTACATATTTAATTTTTCAAATAAATGTTTGACTTAATTTAATCTATGTTAATACTATGTTAACTTTTCATGTTTTAACACATTATTGTAAGACTGTTAAGGGTTGGACCTCTGACCCTTAAATAGTCATGCAACGGAGGCAATAAATGGGGTCACCTTCGGGGCCTGAAATTGAAAAAAAAAAAAAAAAAAAAAAAAATTGTCTTAACATATGATGTTATGATAGTTTGACAGTGAAAATTTTAATAATAATGACATTTTATATATGATTTAAACACCATGCTTAATATTTTGATTGACTGTTAAATAGGAGCCATCATAAATCCGCGTATCTGACTTAGTTTAGTTAATTTAATCATATTTTATTGTTTTATTTTTTTTCTTTCTATACAAAACACTGAAACAATGTCACATGTACATGATGTATGCAAACACTAGACAAAACATTAACGAATAAATTTACAGTATTTACATGGATGCTATAGTTGTTCATAAAAAGACCACTTAAGTTTTACCAATTAACTTAATTGGCCCTTCCCACAATATCTAGCCAAAAGTTGCTTGTCCAATAGCTAATAACAAGTCTATAGGTTTCAAGGTTTTTTTTCCCAAGATTTTGGGAACATGACCGTTACCCACGGAAATGGGAATTTCAGCGATGTTTTGTTAAAAATTGGGAAAAATTGCATCACTTAAATTTTGCAGTCAGATTAAATGAATACAAAGAATAACTGTCTTGGCTGGCATAGTCAAACAGGTTAACACCATAACAGTGGAGAAGCATTTATTTTTAAAGATTTAAGAATTTTTATTTAAGAATTTCTTATTCAATATTTTCATTTTGTAACTTTTCAATTGGGAATTCTTTCCTGTTGATTGGGAATTTAGTGCACGTCGGATTGTGAGTAAAAGGTGAAAAGAAAAGCTAAAAAAGAAAAGTCCAAACATTGACATGCTTGGAAGGTGAGACTGAAAATATATTCTAGTCATGGTTAACATGTTAATAGTTAAACAAGATGATAAGAGATAAAATAGTTTAAAAACACTGGGAGTAAGACTAGTACTGCAAACCCACCACTGCCTGTTTGAACTGACTCAGGTTGGGCAGGGTGGCAATTTTACTAGGAAGTTTATTCCATAGTATAATGCTATGAGGGAAGAAAGAGTACTTATGGTAGTCGGAGGATACCTGTATTTGGCCTAGGGATAAGGGATGCATATGTCTGGTTAATCTATGTGGGGTTTGAACATAAGTTGGGAGATTAATTGCAACTAGGTTATGGTATATCTTATAAAACATTATCAGTCTACAGTCCAATCTGCGATGTTCAAGGGATCGCCAGCCCATTTCTTCCTGCATGGCTGTGACACTAGAGTGAGGGGAGTAATCCCTTTTAACCCATCTTATTGCACGTCTCTGGATCATCTCAACTTTGTCAATATTGGTTTTAGTGTAAGGAGACCAAATAGTTGAGGCATATTCAACCTTTGGGCGGACCAGGGACTTGTATGCTAGTTCTTTCACTTTCTCATTTTTAGTAATGACATTAATTTCTTTTAATAAAGCCAAGGGATCTGTTTGCATTGGAAGTTATATATATATATATATGAGTATTAAATTCAAGGTCAGCAGATAGATCTAGTCCAAGATATTAAAGCATTTGTAACAGACTCTAGGACTTGGCCATGGAGCATATATTTGTGTTTAATTATGGTTTTATTTTTGGTGATATGGATGACTTGGCATTTTGAAGGGTTAAACTCCATGTCCCACTGCGTCTCCCACAGAACCATATTGTCTAGTTGTCATATTGTCTACACCTGTTGGAGAGTTGGGGGGTCTGAGGAGGAATTGATGGTTAGGTATACAGCAGTGTCGTCTGCAAATAATCTGACTTGGGATTTGAGGACAGAAGATGGTAACTTGTTGATATATAGAAGGAAACAGAGGGGCCCTAGGACAGAGCCTTGGGGCACTCTAGAGGTAACCGGGACTTTAGATGAGCAGTCACTATCCACAACTACAGTCTGTCTACGGCCAATAAGGAATGACTGTATCCAGTTTAGAATTTGAGGACAAACACCATGTTCTTGAAGGGTATCTAAGAGTTTAAGATGGTTTACTTTATCGAAAGCTTTGGAGAAGTCAAGAAGTATGAGATCTGTTTGTTTGCCATTTGAAAGGTTGTTCACAAGGTAATCAGTAAGTTCAATGAGTTGTGTCTCACATGATCGTCTTTCTCTGAATCCAGGCTGAAGATCGAAGAGTATGTTGTGGGTGGTAAAGTGAGAGGATAGTTGAGAGGCAACTATGTGTTCGAGTGTTTTACAGAGGATGCATGTAAGGGAAATTGGGCGATAGTTTGCTGGATCACTTGTATCACCTTTTTTGTAGACAGGGCATACGTTTGCACGTGTCCAGTCAATGGGAATATTACCGGTGGTCAGGGATTTTTGGAAAAGAAAAAAATTATTAAATCATAAATTATTCCATATTATCTGTTAGTTTGTTAGTTACTACTTAAAACTATTCACTTCATTAATCATTTAAGTGTTCAATTTCAGGCTTTAAACTAAAATTACTTTTTAAATTGCTTTTTTATGTTCTGCCTAAATCAGACACAAATTAATATACTTTCTTTAGTCCAACTAATAAATTGTACTATGTGACGAGATCTATATTGTGCAATTTGAGTATGGGCAAAATATCTCCCCTCTTCTGACCCAGAACAAATCTGCAAAATCTATATCTCAGAATCTAGCTTTGGCACCTCAATAATTATATTTTGAATAATTCTTTTGTCACAGGGTGAGAAAAATGTGCAGCCTGACCGGGACTCAAACCCGGGACCTTCGGAATACCGTTCCGCGGCTCTACCGACTGAGCTATCCGGCGGCTTACACATCTTCTCTCCTAAGTAGTGAACAGTTCTGAACCGTGACATACTATCATATTCTCCTGCTATATTGAAATTCGTCCTCGCATTTCACAGAGTTACAGAGCAATGTGAATTAAACTCTGAGCTGTATTCAGTCACGGTCCCCTGTTGGGCGCCAAATGTCACAGGGTGAGAAAAATGTGCAGCCTGACTGGGACTCGAACCCGGGACCCTTGGAATACCGTACCGCGGCTCTACCGACTGAGCTATCCGGCCGCTTACACATTATCTCCCCTAAATAGTGAACAGTTCTGAACCGTGACACTTTCTAACGAGTCTTTTTTGACAAATGTTTTTAAAATGTGCCTATCCTAAATATTGACTCAACAGCAAGTATGTAACTCATTAAATAATTTCAGCAGTGTTGATATGAGTTATTCAACTATATTCAGCTGTCAAAATCTATTTTGTCAATAGTGTCATTTTAATAAATTGATTGACTAATCGTACTTTTACCCTTTAAAAATTCAATTTTAAATGACAATTAACAGATGATTCATTGTTTTATTATAAAGCATAACACCAAGTGCATTGGGTACGTTTATACTCGGAGCCAAACGGGGTAATTTACTTAAATAAAGTGCACGTACCTATTAATCCACCAATCAGGAAAAACGATATCAGCAGGAATAACAAAAGTAATCCTAAAATAATCAACTTTTTCCAGCTCAACGTCTCTAAAACTACACCAGCCATTTTCCCGAAAAACTTTAACAAATTAACTTTTATTGTCAGAAAATTAATGGGATGGTTCCTGGCTTAATACAAATCATTCAAAGGTATCAATTTTGCCGCAAATTACCGGGAACCAACACTATTTGTCATTGGGCATATTCGTTCAATTGTTCTAGTTTTCGGATTGCGTTATGAGACCAATACGTACATATATCGCGCTTAAGGTGGTCAGAAAAACAAAAAACTGAGAATAATCAATAAAAGATAATGATAAGCATTTATGTACGTACAGGTCAAACTATGTTATACAATTATCGAATATAAATGTATCATGCTTGTCAGGAGTTATCTGAATATCTGTGACTTACTTGTTACCAAATGTTGTGGTGGTACTGGTAGTTTCCGCTCAGGGCAGAGCGCAGTTCAGCCATTGCATCATTCCTGGGCAGGCCGTCAAGCAGTTTACCGGTACTTCTGTATATCATCCCAGAGCAGAGATCTATACAGTGCGAATGACCATAGAAATGATTTCATGATCAGTTACAATGAAAGTGAACTGTACCATCTGGGAATCAAACCCGAGTTGCACGATTCACAGTCAAATGCTTTATCTATTGAGCTAAACGTCTGGCCTTATCAGACACACGTATACCCAGCAGTTATATCAGTATGTGGGACTTATGAGTCATTAATGACCATCAGTGTAGAAAATGGAAACTTATATCCTTTGGATCTGTGTTATCAAACAATCCGTTTAACGGTCTGGTGCTATTTAGAACAGTACACCACACTTCCTTGTAGATCTGTGTTTTCATATTTTAATGACTTACTATTGAAATTCCAAAGAGGAGATAGAAAAGTTTTCACATAAATCCACATGTAAGATTTCAAGCCACACCATAAATGGCAAGGTCAAATGGCAGTTTTCATGAAGAGAATGGTCAAAGGTACTAGAACCCATCAAAATCGTATGATGCAGGAGTAAATTACTGGGGTAGATCAACCCACAACCTTCCACAAGCTTACTGGCTAGTTTTTCCCCCCACACAAATGGCTTCAAACATTCTTGGAGTCTCAGACTTGAACCGACAGATCTTAATTTCCTTCATTGCTAATGGAAAATAACATCATAATGCAGTACAGATTCAAAATAGCACCAATCCTTCAATCTGCAATAACAGTTGAACCAGAAATGTGTCCGAGAGACACAGATGCCCTGCAGTATATGTAAGAACACCAAATAATATGAATAAGAACACCAAATAATATGAATAAGAACACCAAATAATATGAATAAGAACACCAAATAATATGAATAAGAACACCAAATAATATGAATAGACATCATGACAGGTCAGCATAGTTGGTATTTCATATTCTTTTTGTTTTGCATTAAAAGATGTTTGAAAGTAAGAATGATCGCTTTTGTTAAAAACATTTTTTTTTTAAATATTCACATGGCCTAATTCTCCGAGAGAGCACAAATTCCTCACTTAAGTCTGTCCTGGGGTATAACCTGGGAAAAAGGTTTAATAGGCTTTAACATATGTAACAATTATTTTTATTGTAAAAGTAAAGCATTGATTATCACGATTGCTAGGATACCAAGGACTCATTATGCCAAACACTTTGTCAACTAACTTCAAAATCCTTTGATGCATGACAGTCATGGATCTGACAAGATTTTCTGCTGACCTTTAAGTCCTGACACAGATTTTTAATTGCTGAGCTTTGACATCAATCTTGGAGCTAGGGGTCTAGGTCTTGTTTGTGACACATCATTTCAATATGCTACACACTTCAAAATTTTGCAAATGACTTCAAAATCCCTTGATGCATAACAAGAGTTATGGACCCCGACATGTTTTTCTAACTCCTGACCTTTGACCTCCAAGTGTGACTATAAGAGCAATGGGTCTAGACACTGGGCATGACACACTGTCTTGTCATGTTTAACATTTGTACCTACATGTAGCTAATTAAAAATCCCTTCGTGCATGACCAAGTTATGGTGGAACAATATTTTCTAACTGCTGTCTTTTGACCTCTGTGATGTTGACCTTGGAGCTAAGGGCCTAGTTCTTGTGCATGATACACAATCTAATCATGCTCAACATTTGTGCCAATAAGTTTCAAAATCCCTTGATGCATGACAGAGTTATGGGCTGGACAAGGGTTTTGGACACTCACGCTCAAGGACTGACAAACAGGGGTAACACTAAATGTTCCTTGCCATTATCATGGTGGAAGAGCATAAATATGAAAATTTATTTAGGATTATCACAACAGATTCTACAAATGTGACCAGTGAATACCAAAATCAGCTGGCACATCTGTCCTGGCTGATCAATGTCAGCACTGTTCACTATTCAGTCACTACATACATGTATATTGAAAATTTTCCCTAAATATGATGAATGGTTTTGTCCAGAATGAAAGATGGGACAAGTCCATTTAATATATTTCGGGTGGTATAAGAGTTCATTGTGTAACAACATACAAGATATTTATATAATATGTTTATTTCAGTACAGGTATCAATGTTATACTTATTAACAATCTAAATAATTGAGTTTTCAATCAGTAATTCGAAAAAAGAAAAAAATTACAAAATTGTTATGTACGGTAAGTCAAAATTTTCCAACACGAAAAAAAGGTATGCTTTAATTATTTCATAGCAGTAGTCCTGATAAAAGGCCACCTTTGGTTTACAGACAACCCTGTCCTGAAAATGATTAAATTGCATGAAGAAAATTGTGAGAAAAAAAAAACAACTGTTTTCATTAATAGTCCATTAAATTTACAAATATTGCTACATGAACTTTATTTCCTTGTTTTGTCTAAACTAATTAATAATTATCAAGGTGTAGAATATATCTATTCTCATTTTCCTGACTTATAAATAATACAAAACACTCTCAATATGCACAACAATGCTCCTCTAGGAGACAAGCTATGCTCTTATCCAAATGCAAAACTTACAGATGTTATCCGAAACAAGACACAATAAATTTAAAACAACAAATATACTCAAGATCCCCAAATCTAGGTTGTTACAATATAGAGTCCTTCAAAAAATTATTTAATTGACATGTAACTGACATAAATACCACAAAATTATTAAATTCAATCTAAGCTGTAACAATATAGAGTCCTCCAACTTGACATGTAACTGACATAAAAAAGACCCCAAATTTATTTAATTAACACTAGATATAAGGTCTTTCAAATTGACATGTAATTGACAACGTAATCAACATTTTATATTTAAACACCTACTTTATAACAGGTGTCTGAACAAGAAGAAGAATTGAAAATTCAAACAAAATGACATCATCACTAATGCCATGACAACACAACTGACATAAAATTATAAAAGATAGGAATTGCCATATAACTTAAAAGTTGTATTAATACATTTGTCCAAAATATTTAAGAAATAGAGATCTAATATAAACTTGATTTCATTTTAGCTTTAAATAAAATATCATACTAAGTTCTTTCAAGTTAACTCAAAAAATGATTAAATTATTAACATTTTATTTTATAGATGAAAATAAAATCCTGAAATTGACTTGACATCATAGGCTGTAATATGACATCATCACTAGTGACATTACATCATCAGCTGTAATACGAGTATGACATCATCACTAGTGTCATGACATCATCAACTGTTATATGACATCATCAACTGTAATATGAGTTTGACATCATCACTAGTGACATGACAACATCAGCTGTAATACAAATATGACATCATCACTAGTGAAATGACATCATCAGCTGTAATATGACATCATCACTAATGACATGACATCAATCTAGCACTGGCATATTTTAAACACAAAGTAAGCATTAAATAATAGAACTGTACATCAAACACAAGAGATATGGGGCTTTTAAACACCAATTCAAAAATATTAAACAATGACAATACGTTGTTGCTATCAAGCACTGTTTACAGACACCTGAATTATCATTACGTTTGCACTTGTGTACCTTAAACTGTCAAGCACTTCTTTCAGGACTCTTTCACTCAAAACTATTCAGAAAAAAAAGATCAATCAGTGTGCAAAAAATCTAAATGTTTCATTTTAAACATCGGTCAAAGTAAACAGATCCTATATAGCCCCCGCGCATAGATTTTGCAACATTTTGTTCAAATAATCGTCTATTGTTTTGAAGAACCTCTGCTGCCTCTTTATTCAATGGATCCTCTGGATTTGGCTCCTGTAAAACACCAATACCAAATAATTACTCATATGAGCCGCGTCATGACAAAACCAACATAGTGAGTTAGCGACCAGCATGGATCCAGACCAGCCTGCGCATCGGCGCAATCTGATCAGGATCCATGCTGTTCGCTTACAAACCCTATAGCAAGTATAGAAACTGATAGCGAACAGCATGGATCCTGATCAGACTGCGCGGATGCGCAGGCTGGTCTGGATCCATGCTGGTTGCAAACGCACTATGCTGGTTTTGTCATGATGCGGCTCATATGTTGTTTTTATAAATGATGCACCTAACAATGTTTTAATTCTGTTCAATATCTTAACCAACTTACAAATATTGTAAACTTTATTGCAAAACTGTAATTTAGTTAACTAGTTTTCATCATGGGATACCCATGAATAATTAACAAAAAATCAAGTTGTGGGTAAAATGAAGCTATTTGGATCGATAAACGGCAACAGGTGCGTAAAATATCGACCAATGCAATTGCGTTTAACAAATGTCATATATTTCAATGCCGAGGGTAAAAACTATCAGTAACAGTAAATTTTCTACGCTTTTTGCTTGAAATATTTCACCTCTTTTATTGTGAATTTTACACAACTGAATTTAATTGGTTGCCTCAATTTTGTCTGTCATACTGAATGTCCAATAGAACAATTTGATCGGTTTGAATAGCCTCATGAATTTGCCTCATGAAATCTCAAGGCAACCAATGAAATAGCTGTCTTTGAAAATGGCACACCTCCAATTCACTGGATATTGCCCTAAAATTACACGGCTAATAAATGTTAATGGTTCGGCCAAGGATATACGACGGTGACTGAATTTATGATAAAGTTTTGATGTATCATTATAATATCAATATGTTACATGTATATACCTTCAGTCTGCTGGAAGCTACTAACTTTATCCATGCAACCTCTGCAGACCAAAATCAGCCGGCACCTCTGTGCCGACTGAACATGGTCTGCAATATTCGCTATTCAGTCAGTACTTATTTTAAAAATTGTCCCCATAAATGATGATTGAAATATGAACAAGTTCATTTAAGATATTTAGTGGGATAAGAGTTAAAATGGATGACAAAATAAAGTACCACAATAAGAAAATTTCCATCAATAAAATCATATGCAGGTGTCTGACCATAGCTTCATATACAATCTATCTCCAGTATATATTGTATTCTTGACTTAAAAAATTAAGCACCCAAATACAACTGTACCTAGTAACAAGAGCTGTCAGAAGGACAGCGCGCTCGACTTTTTTAGTGCTTGCCTATAAAACAAAACTTTGACAGTTAAGGGCACACAAGACTTTAACTAGGAATTTCTAAGTAAAAATCAAGAAACATTTTCACAGAGTTATCTTCTCTTGCTTACAGATAGGTCTCATGATGGCACATAAGAACTCCAACTTCCAAAGTAATATCTCAAATGGTTAAGTCAACAAGTGGACAAGAATGAAAATCTTTGAGTTTCAGCCATAATTCAAATAAAATCCTTACCTTCTCCTGCCCATGTTTGGGACCATGATGGTAAACAAGTATTCCAACTTTCAAATTAATATCTCAAACAGTTCAGTCAAAAAGTGGACTGGTACTAAAAACTTAACCAAGATTCTAAGTCGATAAAAGGCCTTTATTTTTAAAACAAATCCTTGACAGAGTTACCTTCTCTTGCGTACAGATGGGGGTAATGATGTGAAATAGCATTAAAATTTCAAAGCAATATCTCAAAGGGTTAAGGCAATAAGTGGATTTTACCCATATTCAATGTATTTTCTAAGTCAAAAAGGGGCATAATTCTGTCAAAAACCTTGACAGAGTTATGTCCTCTTGTCTGTTGATGAAGGTCGTGATGGTAAACAAGTATGGTCAGTTTCAAAGCAATACCTCCAATGGTTTTGAAATAAAGTGAGGTGGTACAAAAAACTTAACCAAGCTCAATACACTTTCTAAGTCAAAAAAGGGCCATAATTCTGTCAAAAACCTTGACAGAGTTATGTACTCTTGTCTGTAGATGGAGGTTATGATGGTGAACAAGTATGGTAAGTTTCAAAGCCATACTTGTAATACTTCTGAAATAAAGTGGGGTGGTACGAAAAACTTAACCAAGGTGTGACGCCAACGCTAACGCTAACGCCGACGCCGGGGCGAGTAGGATAGCTCCCCTTTTCATAGAAAAGTCGAGCTAAAAATTGGCCACACCTATCTTACAATTTCACTTTAACAATTCAAGTGTTTTAAACATTTACAATGCAAGATTTGTATAATGGACTTGTCCTGCTTTGAATTTGGAATGGTCCACAGTTAGTTAAGGGGATTTAACTGAACTGAAACATGTAAAATCTTAGTAGACGACAGTTAAGAGTTAGTCAGACTGTACAAAAGGAGTGTAGGACAAAAGCCCTCCTGGACAAAAGCCCTCCGGTCCAAAAATGACAAGGCCTTGTTAATTTCAAGAGAGGGCTTTTGTTTGCCAAGTCATTTTCACAGGAGGGCTTTTGTCATTTTGGGACGAGAGAGCTTTTGTCTGAGAGGGTTTCCCGTACAAAATGTACCAGCTGGCCTGGCTCTATACTGTTGGCATAGGTAAGTCATTCTGTTGCCAGAATGCTTAGAAATCAATTGAACAGCTTTCACTTACCAGAAATAAATACTGCAATCCGTACACTATTGAATTTACTGTCAAAACCGGTTTCCAGTCTTCTCTGAAATGATCATTGAAATAAATGCAATATATTACAATTCACTATCCACTTTAGCGAGCATTAGATTAACAAAGAAACTGCGGAGGCTCAATTTTTCATCAATTTGTTCCATATGAAACAAATGAACAAATGTTCAAAAATAAATAAGTCGAATAACTCAGTATTACAATGTACTTTGAACAACTATTAAAATATACATTTAACATGAATATTGTGCTTTTAATATTTCATGCAGATCACTACTCTTTGAATATGATTTTAGCAGTTTATATATTAACTATTTCTTTAATTGATGTTTCTTTTTGGTTTTTTTCCAGTTAAGTTTTAAGTAACATCAATAGTATAAAGGTCATATGGCGACTTCCCAGCTATACATTTTGAAGAAAACTTGTATCTAAGATGGAGATGAAAATAGCTCAGCTTGAGCATGTTGTGCTCTGGTGAGCTAAAAAAGCACACAAAAAACTATTTTCTCAGCAAGTATCACTAAAATCAACAACAAGAGCTGTCGGTAGGACAGCAACGCTCGACTATTCTTAGTGCTTGATAGTAAAAAAATGCTTGATAGAGTTACCTCCTCCTGTTTACAGGTTGGGGTCATGGTGGTGAACAAGTGTGCAAAGTTTCAAAGCCATATGTCAATGGACTTTGAAAATATTTGAACTATTACAAAAACTTTAACGTAAATTCTAAGTCGAAAAAGGGGCATAATTCTGTCAAAATGCTTGATAGAGTTACCTCCTCCTGTTTACAGGTTGGGGTCATGATGGTGAACAAGTGTGCAAAGTTTCAAAGCCATATGTCAATGGACTTTGAAAATATTTGAACTATTACAAAAACTTTAACGTAAATTCTAAGTCAAAAAAGGGGCATAATTCTGTCAAAATGCTTGATAGAGTTACCTCCTCCTGTTTCCAGGTTGGGGTCATGATGGTGAACAAGTGTGTAAAGTTTCAAAGCCATATGTCAATGGACTTTGAAAATATTTGAACTATTACAAAAACTTTAACATAATTCTAAGTCGAAAAAGAGGCATAATTCTGTCAAAATGCTTGATAGAGTTACCTTCTCCTGTTTACAGGTTGGGGTCATGATGTTGAACAAGTGTGCAAAGTTTCAAAGCCATATGTCAATGGACTTTGAAAATATTTGAACTATTACAAAAACTTTAACGTAAATTCTAAGTCGAAAAAGGGGCATAATTCTGTCAAAATGCTTGATAGAGTTACCTCCTCCTGTCTACAGGTTGGGGTCATGATGGTGAACAAGTGTGCAAAGTTTCAAAGCCATATGTCTATGGACTTTGAAAATATTTGAACTATTACAAAAACTTTAACATAATTCTAAGTCGAAAAAGAGGCATAATTCTGTCAAAATGCTTGATAGAGTTACCTTCTCCTGTTTACAGGTTGGGGTCATGATGTTGAACAAGTGTGCAAAGTTTCAAAGCCATATGTCAATGGACTTTGAAAATATTTGAACTATTACAAAAACTTTAACGTAAATTCTAAGTCGAAAAAGGGGCATAATTCTGTCAAAATGCTTGAATAGATTACCTCCTCCTGTCTACAGGTTGGGTCATGATGGTGAACAAGTGTGCAAAAGTTTCAAAAGCCATATGTCTATGGACTTTGAAAATATTTGAACTATTACAAAAACTTTAACATAAGTGGTTACGCCGACGCCGACGCTCGGGTGACTGCAATAGCTCTACTTATTCTTATCGAATAGTCGAGCTAAAAAGTAGACAGGCTTTAAGTAAATGACCATCATTTTGTAGAAGGAATAAATTCCAGCTAAAGTTGATAGACCTAAACAATGTAGGGGCATATGTAGCTGTACATGTAATTCCTCGTCATTAAACTCCTCACAGCGGTTATGTCACGCTTTGCTACTTTAACCACTGCCACCACTGAAATCAGGTGACGATAGTTGTGTCATGTGACAAAAACATGGCGGCCAGTTTCAGAACGCCAAGAATCCCATATCCAACTGGCAGATTTATAATTACATCCTTGCGAGATAAAATATGTTCAAAACACTCAATTTGTTTACACTTTAAAACAAGTGCCGGATCAAAATCTTTTGCGCAATCTTTCAGTCAGTCATTGTTAACTATACATACGGTGTCACAGTGAAAATATCTTTCGTTATTTTTACAAAATTTTATAAGTATATTTTATTACATTCTTGTACATTAATCATAACAATTTAATTAAAGAAAACTAAAATGATATAAAGAATTCTATTATAAATAAAAAGTGAAAAAAAATATATCCGGCTCTCTGAAGCCGAATTTACTTGTGGTGGCAGTGGTTACTGTACTGATCAGGGGAAGTAACCGTTGCGGGGAGTTTGCGTTGTCATGGTACCTTAAAATATTGAGGCAAACATTTCCTTCCAAATCTATGTTGGGATGGTACACCATTGTCTCACATTTCACCTTCGGAGCATCATGTGGATACCCTTGACCAACTTTGAAGTTAAAAACAAATCTTCCGCCTCTATAGAACCCCTGAAATAAGACAAAATTCATACAAATTTCTATAAGCCTAAATTTGTCTGACCCTTGACATTTCATCTGAAGGTCACTGGGATTTAGGGTTTACCATGTATTACAATTCGACGATAAAAATTTGTAATCTTGTATCATATTAACAAGCAAGCAATGATCCTGTATTGCTCACCTGTGTTTACATGTACATTAGGAAGATTTGAAAATTTCTCTATATACATACTGGTAAACACAATCCTATCATGAAACGCCTTGTTTTGATGAATCCCAATAATTTCAACTATTTTGGTAAACAGTCAATTAAGAATCATTTCAAATTAGCTATATCAATATCTTAATAAAGATGAACAATCATTTTCATTGAATTTTGTTATATTAGGAAAATGTCTCAGCCGTATCACTATCATGTTTCAATAAATATTTTGGTTGCCATGGCAACTTAAATTCATCATGGAAAGGATTTTCACAACTTTGACAGACCTTATTTAAGGATCACCCATGGAACATTCACATTAAGGTGCAGTGGTCAAAAAGACTGCCTCTTGGCCCATGATTCATGGGTACAGCGCTTTTTGGTTCAAACCTTGATTCATTATACTGACTGATACTGGAATTTAGGATTCTTTCTTTAGTCTACAAATATTCTTTTATAATTGATTTTATGATTACTTTTCTTTTCTTGTTTTTAGGATAGGTAAGTTTTGTTTCCTTCGGTGATTCATTATCTTATTCTTCTCCCACAAATAAGACAACTTTGAATGTTTTGTGCACACCTTTTACTTAACAACTTATACTCAAATGTCCGCAGGGTAAAAACAGTATGTTTGCATCCTTCTCCTGACACTGCATACATCACAATTAATCTCTAAATTGGCTATGTTTTTCATAAGGATCAAAGTTTTCTAGAAACAAAACATCATCTAGGCACCGCAAAATTAGTGGAAGCAAAACAACAATCTTGGCACCAGAAAACCTATCAGTTGTGAAATTTGATAGCAAGGCCTTCCCTTTATCTACCCATTCTTTTAAAAATCATACAAAATCTTTGGAATAGTCATCATTACTCCTACATTCCCATAGCAGCTTCAACAGTAAACTGAATACCACTGTATTGCAAACAGGACTGCACATGTAAGTAAAATAATTCTATCCTTTGACAGTTTGAGCAATAAATGTGTTCAGACTCATAGAAATATAGTTTTATGGTTCCCCAGAACCAATTCCCTTATTCCTGGAGTAAGTTACCAACTGCTTGGTCAAATGTCAATATCGGAAGGGAATTTTCATCACTAATTTATAGCCACATTTTTTCTAATATACAAATAATCAATGTGTGTAAATCTCTTAGAAAAGTTTGTTTGTTTTGATTGTTTGTTTCATTTTACGCCTGTTTCCAACAGTATTTCAGTCATATAGGCGGGTAGTTTCCTAACCATCGTTCCTGGAGAGTTACATCAGTCTCTTAGATGATAGCTACATTTTCTATTATATAGACCCTGTCAAAATGTATGTTCCAAATGGTTTCAGTAGACACAGTCTAGGTACTTTAAAACACCTAAAATACTTCTCTTAAATGGTTTGCCCAGTAGCCAATGATATCACTTTATTTATGCAAATTGCTTTCAAAATTTTAAAAGTTCTATAAAACTAAAATTCATCTTTATATTTTGGCAATAACTGATAACAATGTGTATATCTTGTGACACAAGAATGAGAAAATAATGAACTAACTGTGTGTCTTGAAATGGGACAATTCTAATTAAGAAATTCTGCAGGTTAAGGATTAATCAATTATCAGAATAATAACACTGTGCAGCCAATAGAATTAAACCTTTTCAGATTGTACTAGCCTAGCCTACATTTTGCAACGGGTATGTGTTTGATTTGTGTCTTATTAGACCAGTTTGACTTACATTGTCTGTGATATAACAGACTCCGAAAAAAGGCCTCTTCCCAATTGAAATTTTCTTTAAAATCATGCAGTTTTCCCAAAAATCTGAACTTAAACCAGCTTTTTTACTTCCCAAATCAACAATTTTAGCGATGATTTTTCCCAAAATCAAGAGGCAAAGGCCTCTTCCCAATGAAGTGAGAAAAATCACTGAATTGTACCGTATCAATTTTTATACCAACTGTACTTGTACCTACCTCATCTGGGCTTATCACAAGCTTGAAATTTAGAAGATCATCAGGGTCTGGGAAATCTACTTGACATGTTTTGGGTAAATTCAATTCATTTATATCTGGAATAAAAAAAACACAACAGTTTTTATATTTCATACAAGTACATTTTATATATACTTTATACCAGTAACTAGGGATCGGGACTTCCCTCTGGGTCATAATTAGTTTGCGCCACCAAATTCGCCAATCAGAAGTGTCACACAGTTGATAACATAATTGATGATACAGTTTGATAAACAAACTAATCATGCGTGACCTTTCACCTTTGGGCCGCTTATGTAATTGACACGACCGCTTATGATATTTGAGTGTAATAGTTGTAGGATGCTTTTATCTTACGTTGGCACCAGTAAAATTCGCCATAAAGATTTTATGCGCCAGAATAAATATTTTGTCGCATTTGGCGCCATTGGCGAGCGACAGAGGGAACCCTGGTAAACATTTCTTTTTATTGTAAGTGCATTTTGATTTTTGTTAAACATTTTTTTATGCAAATGGACCTTCAAAATTACAGATTTTTATACATATACAGATTATGTTACAGCTGTTATTAAAGCAATAGATAAGTGTTATTAATTTTTTTCTAACAAGACTACATTGTACATGCACGTGAACATTTATATACAATATTTATCATGGCACATCTCTGTGATTTTCCACAGGGGATTGCAGGGATTTTTTTAACCCGTCCTCGGTGATTTGCCACCATGACTGACCATTGTTTGTCCCCTGCGATTTTCCACTCACTGTTTAAAATGTCCGTGGTAACAAAACGGAAAGTGCAAAAATCCCTTGAACTGTACAGTACCAGCCTATTGTAATACACCAATAAACACTTTCAGAACTAGCAGACGACAGGCTATTCTTATTAGTAGTATTTTAAGTAAAGATAGCGCCAGGTTGTGTATCTCACTGTATAAATCATATGGTCTGACATATAGTAGGTTTAACAGTTAATTTAAATACTTTGGAGTCAAAAGATGTGTTGAAGTTTATACTGTGATGAAGCTAATATCCAAAGCTTTCTATTGGTGTAATACATTTTAAAATAGGCCATTTAATCACAACTAGCAGTTTAAAAACTGCTTATTTTGTATTGTTTTAGCATAAGCGGTATCGATTTTACTCGAAGATAAGGGAAGCAACTCGTATTTTTCACACGATTTACCTCCGTTATTTACGTAGATCATACTGAAAGTGTTTAAACTTTATGGGTGTATTGATAAAAGTTTTCATGATATTCAATAAAATCTTCTTTTAGAAACTAGGTTGCGTATTATTTTAGGTTATATAGTTTAAAAATTCCATACGGCTATCCCCAACAGTGCAATAGGCTAATCGTATGTGACTCTGGTATGGCTATTAAAACTTTTGGCTAGCTGTATGGCAGCTGTATGGCTAGCCACTTCCTTTTTAAAAGTGCATGTCTTCTCATCAAGGTGAAGGTTTTAGATAATAAAAGGGAAACAATTAAAACACATTCGAATTTAAAAAGAAATAATCGAGAGTTAATTAGGATGAATGATGATGTTTCTAAAAATAAATCATGGTAACTGATGATGAGCAAGTGACACACACAAAAAAAATCAAATCGTCGATTTTTTTAACCTTTTTGTATTCTAAGTTGGGCAGCTGATGACTTTTTATGACTTCCAGATCTATCAGAGGGATCTGTACCGTCCTTCTTTTGTTGTTTGAGTGAAAATAACTTAATCATGACGGGAAAATGAAGATTAAAACAATTTTCCTGTCCTGTTTACCAAATTCGATGAACTTTCACTTTACATACAGAGTTATCAATTGATGTCTTCGAATTTTTTTTTTAATAAAAGTTTTGTTTTTTACCAAATCATTTTGATTAGCATATTGAATGTACATGTGAGATTATTAATTAATTTAACAATTATTATTTACATTTATTTAGAAAAATTTTTATTAAATAAGATACGAATCTAAATCTCTTATTTGAACGCCGCTAAATAATTTTTTGTTCATTTACCGAAATCATATTTTTGGTAAATTTACCGAAATCAACATTCAAAGTTTTTTTTATAATACATGTAAATTGGGTTGAATTGAACTGACATGTTTACTATCACTGAGGCCGAAATTAACTTGTAAAAGCATGTAAAAATTGATATTACATTATTAAATCTGCAAATTGAAAAATAATTAAATGATAAAAGATCACTAAATAGACAAAAAGATACACATTGTGAGGGTTATCTCCCTTGTTACTTATAAACCAAAAACTGTATTATTAGAAAATCAGTAGAAAAAATATCATCTATCTTCCTTTGAGTCAAACCTAGACTTTGCGTGTCACCATAGTAAGACGAATAAAACATGTATAAAAGCAGAATAAAAGTTTTAAAAGATAAAAACAGGGCAAGTGTGTCTAGGGTGAGACATGTTCAATCTGGCTTACTGTCTTACTGAACATTTGGGACCAGACATGGTGACAAGGACTGTGGGTAAAGCATTCCAGTGGAATAAATGTCATAGGAAAATATGTTAATTTTTTTCTTTTTTTAATTTTTCTTTTTATTTTTTTTGATTTTTTTTGTTATTTATTTTTTTTTTTTTTTTTTTTATTTTTTTCTTTATTTTATTATTTTTATTTTATTTTTTTCTATTTTTTATTTTTTTTATTATTTTTTTTTTTATATTTATTATTATTTTTTTTTATTTTTTTTTTTTTTTTTTTTTTTTTTTTTTTTTTTTTTTTATTTTTCTTTTTTTTTTCTTTTTTTTTTTATTATAGTCAGTTTTAGGCTTCTCCACTCTAGGGATACAAACATAGCAGATGTTCCAGTGATGTTCTAGTGTAGTTCTTTTTGACCCAGCCCGACACTACACATACTTAATCTGGTCAATGAGAGCTCCAGGGTATGGGGACCAGACACAATAGGCTGACAAGTGTGTTGTAGGCTGTACTTTTGAAGGGTTCCGAGCGAACCTTGATGAACCATCTAGTGTCAGGAAGTCTAGTGTTTGGTTTGCATTTTTACAATGTTGTCAAGGTGTGTGTTCCAGATTAAGTTTTCTGAGATTGTGACACCCAGGTATTTTGCTGATGGTACTGATTCCAGGATGGTGTTTAGCATGGTGTACTGTGTATGTATTTGTGTATTTCCTAGCTTTTGTTAGTTGGATAACCTGGCTTTTTGAAGGAATAAGTTTCATGTTCCATTTTGATTCCCATGTTTCAAGTTGATGTAAGTCTTGTTGTATATTGTAGGATTGAGAAGCTACGGATAGAGAGAGATATACTGCTGTCGAACTTTCGAGTGTTTAACAGTCAGGAAGGTCATAAATTTATGTAAATAAGAAATGAGAGAGGTCCAAGGACTGAACCCTGGGGACAACTGAGTAGACTAGGATAGTAGTAGACATGGAGCCAATTACTACTACTGATTGTGACCTATTGTCTAAGAAAGACTAAATCCATTTGAGAGTTACCCCCCCCCCCCTTATACCATCGAATGCAGCTTATATGAAGTTTTTCATGGTTGACCATGCCAAATGCTTTTGAAAAGTCAAGGAGTATGAGGTTGACTTGACTTTTCTGATTAACAGATTGTAGGACATCATCGACTTACAAAAGGAGTTGGATTTGACAGGACCTCTTTTCTCGGAAACCATGCTGCAATTCAAAGAACATTTTGTTGTTGGGGCTTACTTTTGGCAGAGATATTTGGCTGTATCAGTACAGCATCATGATCGCTGATACATGGAATTACGCTTGAACATGTTACAATTGACGGGTTGTTTGTCATAAAAAAATGTAGAATGTTATTTTTGCCGGTTAGCTCTTGTACTACTTGGGCGAGATTTGAATCATAGAGAATGCTTTTAAATTCACTGTAGTATGAATGGTGTTTACAGTGTTTGGTTGAGGCTTTGTTTGATCAGTCCATTTTTCGCATATTTAGACCTATATTTAGACCCCTACCTAGATAGTTGCATTGTTTTTGATGCCATGAAGAGTGATTTGGTGAATTCTTCAACGCTTCGGGGATCATATTCTTTGGGTTTATAGTAGGTGCAGACAAGGAGGAGGTGTTTTGATCCTACTAGTTGAATTTTAATCCACAGATATTTACAGTCTGTGTTCAATATTATTTCTTATAAAAATGTAGTATGTCTGCCATATGTTTTTCAATCTGCTCTCCTAGGAGGTGTTTCACTTTCCGTTATCTTTCTTGAACATATTCAATAACATTTGATATTCACTTATTTTTCTTTGTTTTCATTGCTCTTTGGCGACCCTCCTCCTTTTCCAAAAAGTTCACATTTTTGACACTTAATGAATCAGACTAAATTCCACTGTAAAGCATGAAACTGACTGGTCTCCTGTAAATAAGTTTAGAATATCCCTTGACCTTTGGTCCCACCATTGAAAAGGTACAACGTTTTTTAAAAATGTAATTATAATCTACGGTATTTGAGCTTTTTCTAAATCACTGAACATAAAATTCCGATATATCGGTCTTTGCACCATCATCGATTTAAGATTTTAAAACATGATTAAAACTTTGTTAGTAACTTGTATTTATAAAGCAATGGTTTAGACATCATATGTCGTCCAAAACGGCAAAACGGCAAATTTAAATATTTGCAGTTCACTTTCAAGAGCCTTTGACTGAGTCAGTTCATGCACGTCAATGCTTACTTCAGTCGACTGTCCGCACAAATTAAGCCCGACTGAATTCAGCACTTGAAAAGAAGAATTTATTAAAATGTTGTAACATCTTGGGATGTGATTCTAAAACAAGTGATCCTAAAACACTTATGTACCATTTCATGGATCGAATTGAAATCGGAATTCTCAGTGGGGTCAGATGTTATTAAACTTACCTGTTGTCTGACAATATAAATCAATCTGTATTTGGATCAATAACCAGTGTAACAACAACCAATAGATGCTTGTATAAACTTAGGTTGTTATTTCCAAGAGAAAACAAAGAGATATTTTTTCCAGAATATTTGCAAAAAATTATACTTCAACCCTCTGGAAAGGTCGCTAAATGTCTCCCAACGTGGCAAAGATGGAAATATAGCACGGTTGCCCTGTTTGTTTGAGACTGGTCATGGACAAAGGTTGGATTGGAACAACCGTCAATGTATTCCTATCACTGCTTGAATTTTAAAATTCAGATATGAATATGATAATGTGCATTTTATGAACATTTTCACCTAGAAATACTATACATGCTATACATGTTTTCTGTTGGAGTTGTTAATCTTAAAAAACAACTGTTACAACAAAAAAGGGCCAATTTAACTGATTTTAGGGTCGAACATTTAAATTTTAAAGCGACCAGAACTACGTTAATTAATTACGCTGCTCAATACGATCGAGGGGAAATTATAAACTATGATAATTATGATAAAAAAGTGAAACAGGCAATGATATGGCAAATTGATAAAATTTGGCATGTCACCAAGCTGATAAAGCCACGTACTCTATGTACATCGCATTTCAATATCTTTACTCAGATTGAAACAGAAGGTTGTATCTAATTCGATCAGGTAAATTTTCGTATTTTTTATTGTACTTGATATTTCTTTTCTACAATTGATATAATTATTTGCGTTTTTCTTTTTATTCAATATACAGTGTTGTTGATATCTGTTCAAAGTTAGAGCACATACTATTATTTTCATAGCAGCAGAAAGTTTGTAATATATTTGTGCATATAAACTCCGTTTGAACACATCTGTAGATGTTTCAAAATTTTCAGTATACCATCATGTACGTTATTTAATTTTATGAACGGAATTCTATTTCAACCAGGGCTGCACGTAGACGGTAATTGACAATAGCCTTTGCAAATCAATGCAGACTCTATAACACATGGCTTTCTACAGTTTACTATTATGCTATGATTGGCGTACAATTAAAATTCAAACGAACTATAAAATTTAATAAAGTATGTCGGAATAATTTATTGTGGCAAGTGTGTACTTTAAAGAGTTAATCCTATTCATGTATTATACTTATTGTGTGTTTGAAACTCCTGCTGAAAGGATGAAATTTTACGATTTTTCCATAATTTTCCGTCCCAAATTATAATTGGTTGCCCATGTTTTAATTGGTTGTAAATGATTGTTAACACCTGGAAGTCATTCCGAACTTCTGAAATTGTGACAAAAAATTCAATATAGGTCAATCCGTTTTCTGAAAATTTGTCGAGCGGATGTTTTCACTAAGTGGGCGTGAACAAATAATGTACTTGCCCTATGCATGCGATAATAATCGTTCTATAAAATGAACTATTTTTATTGAATAAATAAAGTCAGACGAAGCATAGTGTTTTTTTCTATTTTTGTGTATGAAATGTGATGGTTTATATTTTAAACTAACCGGGTTTCAAAAATGGTATTTTGTGCATAGATTTTGATTATTTGCTTCTTCTGTTTCAGTTCAATTTTACCGAAGTAGCTATGTCTACTGTTAACATTGGGTTAATGCAAAAGGTTAAACCGGTGATATAAGGCTATGATAGCCTCCTGATTGTCAAATTTTGTGTTCCTTGATTATTTCGCGATTCGAATGTTTTAAACACCACATAAGTGATTGCAAAACAATCTGTTATTTATTGTCAAGGTCATCTATCCGACCTTTATATAACTATGATAGATACAAGCAGAACAAATACCTTATTAAATAAAACATGTACAGATAAAGATAGATAAATTTGTTAAAATAAAATTGGAACGCGCGTTCACGTGTACATTGTGCTGACAAGTATTATCTTTTTTTTTTAATTCACAATTGGACCTTTACCATTATAGTTCTCATATCAATACTTTGTTATCTTATGTTAACATTTTCATATATTAACATAATTAAATAATTATAACACACAATTTCCACAGGATACTTTCTATATAGGGGCCCATATCAACATTTTTCGTTTTTATTACATTGTTGCCACGGTATAGCTAAAGTATTTCCACATGTCTCCCTTTGCTTCTGTAACAAGTTCGCGACCAGTAGATACATGAACAGTTTGAACAGTTTATTGAAAATGCTGGGTCTCTTAGAGGCTAGAGGCATCAATCACGTATACAATAAATAGGCATAGGTAGAACATGGAATATCACAAAGAGTTCCACAAAATATACTAATGTACCATTTGGCATACTAGTATATAACTCAAAACGAAATTGTTACATTGTGAAAATAAGCTAAGCTATCAGTTTTTTAAGTGCTAATATAAGTTTTTACAGAATACTGCAAGTTAAACAATATAATCATATCTGTGTTATTATTAGCATAGAAAATTTGATTGAATTGATAATAATACTATACTCTGTAGTAATATATTTTCTTCTATCAGTAGTAAAATAAGTAATGATATTAATCTCCAAGTGAGCTAGTATTGCACAAGTTGCATACTCTTAATTCTTTTCGTATATTACAAAATCTACGAGACTCAACTTATTTCGTGGTATTTTTTGTTTGACTGAATTCAAAACTATTAAAAAAAACTCGAATGTGGAATAATTGAAATTTTGTAATTTTTTTAAATGAAGGCTTTTTCAGGTATAGGTGACCATTATCCACTGAAACCTATTTGTTTTCTGACAATTTGAACAATCAGTTTTTGGCTCTTGAATCTGTGATATTAATATCGGTGATTGTTTTTAACTTTGATACTTGTTTCTACGAGAAATATTGAGAGAACCAATCAAAATATATTTTGTTATGTTGGTAAAATCTATTCTTTAACCATCTGAAAAAGTCTTTAAATGTCACCTCACATGACAAAATTTGAAATATTGCAAGTTTGTTTGAGACGGCTCATAGACAACGACGTTAAATGCAAACGACTTTTATTTTTTAAACGTTTATTTTCATTTAAAATATTCTTTACGCGTGTAAATGTTCAGAAACAAAAAAATGAGATCAAACTTTGATTTTAGGGTCAAATATTTCAAATTGATGAAAAACTTTTTACAGTTTAATTAAGTTGGGCGACCGCCCGGAACAATTTATTTTAGCCAGTGTGTATTCAAAATTGAATTCAATTCATTGCGTTAGTTTGAAGCTCATGCTAAAGGAGAAAATAAAGGAGTTGGCTATAATTTGCCCGGCTAAAGTAATTTTTATTTAATAAAGTCGAATAAGCATGGTGCTTTTATAATTTTTTTGCATGAAATGTGGTTAATATTTTTAACTAACCGAGTGTCAAAAATGTTGTTTTGGCAATAACAGCCTGATGTGTCCCTTAATTATTTCAGGATTCAAATGTTTTTACACAAAAACTCATCACGTTATTTGCAAAACAATCTGTTATTTATCGTCGACGTACGTTATCTCTCCGACTTTAAATAACTATGATAGATAAAAGCAGAGAAATACCTTATAAAAAAGATAAAAAATTTACAGATAAATAAGATAATTAAATAGTTACAAATAAATTAGTTTAATTAAACAATAAGCATGCACTTAAGTGTACAATGTACTAACATGTCTTGCCTAATCTTATCGTATTAAATTGTTAATGTTAAACCTTGCAGTATTTTATAATGTTTCATGGACCTGGCAATTATAGTTATCGAATCAATACAGACACACCACTTCAAAAAAAAGATCGCCGTGTAAATAAAGGACACTCTTCTACAACCCTTACTTAATTAAATAGAACAATGTCACCTCCGAAAAAACATCACACACTGAGTCAATAATGAAGTAAACAAACAAAAGCACACTACTCTAACTACTTCTATCACTACTTCGCAACCATTCGATATATGTAAGCCATGAATTGATACGAGCGAACATTGTTCTGCGGAAGCGTATGGGGCACCGGAATGAAGAGATAATGTCGTATCTGTCGAGTCATACAACACAACGAGTGGTCAAAATTACGGCAACAAAAAGTATATTTCATCTTGGCCCCCGTCATCAAAGAAAAGGGAAAAATTTTAAAATGTTTCAGGCTCGGTTTTACTGTGCCCATTATGGACGGCCTGCCCCAAATCATGCAACTACCGTCCACCCCCTGCACCGGCTTAACGAATTAAAATTTAAACAAAAAAAGGAAAAATTTTCGATTTTTTTTAACATTCGCCCCAGAAATAAAAAGGGTGTGCTCTAAACGAAAGCAATAGGCGAACTAAACAAAATGGAATTTTGAAAGGGGATCAGAGGTTATGAAGCCTGTATATATCACAGATAAGATGTCAAAAGACAAAGAAAAGCAGGCAACATATCCTATGGGTGAGTCAACATTATTCAAGTAGGAATTTTGGAACCACCCAACTAGAAACTACGGATTCCAGTAGCAGATCAATGTGGAAAACCCTGTTTTTTTAAGGTTCTACAGTAGATAGCGGTTATATCATGTATTCTATTTCTGACAGTTTGATGCCGTTGAAATAAATGAAAGACTTTGCCGATATGCAGTCTCAAAGGGTGAAAAAAGCTCAATGTATCGCCTGCATTTCTCGAGTGTTAGTTAAATGATAGGTTACTTATCTATGCCAGACGTAGGTTAACTAGTGTATGTTACGTAGCAAACCTTAATCAAATATTTTAATATATGAATCATTTAAGTCCATAAATCACAAATCCCTAATGACTGACATAAATATCATTTTTGAGCCATTTTGTTATAAGGTTCAAGCATGGGCAAAAATGTAGATGGTCTCAAAATTTTATGTAATATGCTATTGCGTTATTCAGTATGAAATCCTAACGAAATAGCGGCTAGCCGTTGCATCAGAAATAAAAAGGAAGTAATCTCATGTTTTTGCTGTTGACAAAAGCCAAAACACAATTATACACATACGCACACTCACGCACACACAAGCATACGTGTAACGTAATGACCGAATTATTATTGATGATAAATTGTTTTATTGTGTTTTGAACTCATCGAACACTCTGAATGTGTGTAATAAGTTTATTAAAGAGACTTATGTAGCCTGGGTTTCATTCTGTCGATTTTTTTTATGTGCTTCTGTTCGGCAAATCGACACTATCAAAACCAGAGATGTTGTGTTATCTATGACGATCGAGTATGAAATAGCGCGTAAGTTATGAATAAGCAAAAAAAAAAAAATCAACGCCTGAATCCTAGGCTAAGACTTCTGTTTAAAAATCAAGTAAGAGGCCGAGTCAGGGGTAAGACGTTTTTTACCGTAAGCAGAAAACTTTACACACTGGTTGGTTCCAATTCCAGTATTTTAATACGCTTAGAGCTTCCAACAAAATAGAATTAAATAAATTCGTATAAACTAATAAATAATCAAGTTGATATTCAGATTGTAGAATATGCTAGTACTTACAGCAATATATACAAAAAAGCAATCTGATATAAAATGAATTTTTGTTGGATTTTACATTGTACCATGCAAGGACATATAGTGACTTTGCAGCCTTACTGATGAAGAAAGAACTCGGGTGCCTCTCGTGCATTATTTCTGGCACGAACGGAAACCAGAATAAAACTCGCGACGTTACGTAAACTAGCAGGAGTATTTTCCTCATATAAAATATTAAGTCGATTGCGGAATTCGAACCCACAAAGGTGGGGTAAGTAGATGGACACAAGTACGCAAAGCAATATGCTTAACAGATGATTATTATATGCACCTAACATGTAGTGTATTTGCATACTATACTTTAATCAATCGCTTTTACAGTTTTTTCAATGAAAAAAAGCCATTTAAAAGTATATTTCGTCTTGAGTCAGCAGATTCTGGACATTCCTCTAGGTCCAAAAGTTATATACATGTACAACCATTTACTCTGTGATTATTGTAATTAAAACTAAAACTGAATAACACCCATTTTCGGAAATGAAGTTTATACGTCATAATGTTATTTAATGAAAGGCAATATTGTATTTGACAGTTGCAGATGCAACCTAATTAATGCTTTGAATGGGTGAAAATTCATAAAAAATATAAGGAAATCATCATGATCAACAATTATTTGACGCTTGCCGATTTTTTGGAAATAAAACAATTTTCAGGTTATAACTGAATTGCACAAAAAAGGAACTTAAGTCGTCATCGTTTGGAGAGTACCAACATCAAGTAAAACGACGCTGGAGATCGTTTAGAACTGAGGATAAGACGGCGTTCGGACAGGTGTTTTTAAAGTATGTCTACACAAGGGAAGAGGAAGAGAAATAGTACACTATCAGATGATGATGATAATTACACATATAAATACAGGTAATACATCTCTTATCTTAACTAATGCCTTCTTCTCGAAGAGTTGTAGAATCATTTTAAACGCACATTTTAGGTGGCTGTAATATGTGGCAATAGTGTGTGAATACTGCATGTATATTTATTCTTATCTTACATTTTCTTAATTAAGGCATACTCGATAACTATTAATAGTTGCTCAGTTTAATTAATATAATTGTCAAACTTTGAAAACAGAAGGCACTCACCGGAGAAGGAAGATAGTGAAGCGTTGGAAGATAGTGATGAAAATGAGGAGGAAAATAATGATGATGCTGAGGAAGAGGAGGATAATCAGAATGATGATCAAGTAGATGACAGAAATGATCATGATAGTCAGAAGTTGCAGAAGATGCTGGATGATGAAAAAGGAACCAAAAAGTGGCTTGCCGATTACATTTCCTGGCATGTCAAGAAAGCGAGAGGTAAAACATTAAATGAACGCCAAGGTACATATGTTATATCGTTTGTCTTTTAAGTTAATTATGCTAATACGTATAAAATGTGCTTTGTGTTTTGTTGTCAGACTCACACTTTTTATCTTCAGACATTACACAGATAGCTATCGGTTCTACGCAGTTGCTTGCTGTGAAACTAAAGAAAAAAATATCATGATTATTGATTAACCATAAATTTCATTTACGGAGTGTTTTTTTTAGGAATTTACAACTTCCCCATTTGACAATTTTAATAAAAGCTCTTTACTTAAATACTAGTACATTATATCCAATATTGCAAGATATATAAACTATGCTTTCGAAAAATTTTATTTTTGTGAGCCCCGTTGTGGTGCGTTGTGCGTCGTCAGCAATTTCGTTAAACAACATCTCTTCTGAAACCAATTACTGCACATTGATTTAACTTAATAGGAATTATCGATAGGTAGCTCCCTGAAAATTGTTCAAATCGTACCGGTCTGTTGCATAAGTAGGTCAAGGGGCTTGAAAAGAAGTATGAAAATGCAAATTTAAATAATCTCTTTGTCTGAAATCACGGGGCTCAGAGCTTTGATATTCGGTTAATATCATCTATACAGCTGTTTAAATTATGCCGTAGTCAAAATTGATCAATCATGGGTTTTACTTTAATATATGTTTATATAAAATACTTGATAAAAGACCATCCTCCTCTGAAATGACAAAGGCTAAAACTAAAATATTTGGCATGAAATATTGTCTAGTTGACCTCTATCAAAATTGTTCAAATTATGCCTCTGGCCTTTTCATTATATACATATAGTACAATCTTATAAGGAGATTTTATCCTCTGAACCAAAAAAACTAGAACTAAGATATCTGGAATGAAACATTGTGGACCTCTACAGATTGTTCATATCATGACACTAGGGTTAAAATAAGCACCACACTTTTAGTTCATAAGTTTTCTTTATATACATTAAACAAAAACTAAAACAAATGTTTTCTGAAACGGAGAAAGCTAGAGTTTAGATATTTTACATGAAATGTTGTCTTGTGAACCTGTATCAAGATTATTCATATTTAACAAATTGTGGTCAAAATTGGCCCTTCCCCAGGGGACACAGTGACCTACTGTTTTGGTATTTGATATTCATGAAATTTGGGCCCTGTTTCACAGTTTCAGATTAACAATAATTATTGAACTTTGATATGAGCTGGCCTTAATTTTGACCAAGTGACATACTTTTTTGTCCCTTGATGTACGAGGTTGCTATTCCAAGTGACTTGTGACATCAGAAATGGTATGATGTTAAATGGCGGCACACATAAACAAATCGATAACAATTCATATTTTCAAATTAGTTCCCTCATTTACAAACCCAATTTGAAAACTAATTGAAGGAGTGCAAATCGTACAATTTTCTCTTTCCACGGTACCATAGTTAAATCTAAAAAAGACGTATTTTGTTCAAATAACGAATGGTTGGTGGCCGTAATAAATTATCGCTGCAAAACCTATATTAGACTCGGCTAGTGCCTCGGCCAATAACAGTTTAATAGCTGCGTACTCGTCCAATATAATTATGTACAAAAAATGTATGATAACCTCAAATTATGTTACATAAACCAAAGTATTATTACATATATTATATTACAAAACAGACTTCTATTTGAGGATTTGGCAAACCCTTCAATCAGACAAGGTGCTTGCCGACTATAATACAGGTTTATGTAGCTGTGAACGAGTATTGAAGAATCAGTATATGTATTCTCCAATGTAGAGTACCTGTATGTTTTTCACTATTTTTGACATTTTGACAGAACTTTGGATTTTTGTAGTCTGGAATTGAAAAAGAGGCTAAATTAAGTAGAATAGTGATTTGATATTGTTTATATTACTTTTGAAATTACAATAAGGCCAGATAGAGTACAATAGCGATTTGTTTTGATTCGAAAAAGAGGTTTAATTTATAAGATTGAAAGAAACAGGGAATTATATTTTGCGATCACAAGGTGCAATGCTGAATGTTCATGACTGGTTACATTTGAAATAAACATACGTGAATATATGGGTTATCATCTTTGTAAAATTAACTGAAATGCATGATTTGCTGGTCTTGCAAGGGCACGAGATCATACCAGATAATCTCACTGCAACTCGTTCTGTCATTTGCAATAGTTATATTATAATAATGAAGATAGACCCTTTGGATAATAAAATATGATTTACTTAATGGTTTGAGCATTTAATGGGCCAAACCCTTGTATTATTGAAACTGAACTCCCGATCAAAAGGCAAACTATTTATGCTAAAAGACAGTTTGGTAACAGAGTGCTAGAGTAAACAACAAAGTGAAATATAGTAAGTTTTGGCAATCAATGACTCTCGTTAATTTAAAGGTACATTTAGAAGGCCCCCTAATTGGGAATGTAGTATTTTTTATAAATGCAAAGAAGGAAAATTTAATCAAGCGCTGCATGGGAATTTAATCTTGATTTCAAACTTATCATGGATGACAAAAATTATGACTACAATAATCGGTAAAACTAAGTTGGGATCAAAATCCTACTTTTTGAGTTATCTGCCCTTCAAAATAAGAGTCTTAAAAATATTTGAGGTCATTTTCAAGGGTAAATAATTCAAAACAGTGCCAAGCAACACCTCAATGATTTAAAAGTTGTGTTTGATAGTTTATTCCCTGTTATGGGGCAAAATTTGATGAAATTCTATGCGACAGATTTTATTCCGAATTTGCTTATGCGAAATAACAATCGGGCTCTTCCCGTATACTTGGATAAGAAGCATACTAGCTGAGGAGGTCAGATTGGCGGCGAAATTTCCAATCGGCACACCTCGGCTTTTATTCATAATAACATCGGATTAATACGGTTAAAGAGATAAACAGAAAATACGGTTTCATTTTTGATAAATTATAACGAATGTATATTTTGACATTCAAAAGAAAATAAAGTATTTTCGGTAAATGTATTGTTGAAAATATGTCTGACAATCATAATCAATTAGAAATGGCCACTGATGTATAATTATAAACAAATCCGAATAATGTCAACAGGTAGACATTTTGTTCTTTGAATTTCTACAACAATAAAATATAGTATACAAATAATAGTCTGTCCTCAGGTGAGCGCTTTGGGACTTTTGGCCCCTTGTTAAGTTACGGGTGTGGGTGTTTGTTGATGGAGTGTTTGTTCTACCTGTTGACATCAGGTATTCATTAACTAATTTTACTTTCTCATAAATAAAAAAAACGTATTAGCACCTTTTTACAATTAATATTGGAGGATCGATGAATTGTCGAATTAAATCAAAAATAAGTGTTTCTTTTTCAGATAAAAAGTTGAATGAGCCAGAAAATCTAGACAATTACCTGTATTGTTTAATACGCATCTGCCAAAGTCGAGCATGGACACCTAAATTTAGGGTAAGTTTCTTTCCTTGTGTTGAAAATCCTGTCTCAGGTAAGTTAAAATGTGACACCTTAAGGTAGACTATTGGTAATGGGCACCATAAGGAACTGTAAAATTGACACCATAGGACAGTAATGTGTCTTAAAGCTCACCTGTTTGCAAAATTTAAATAAAATTTACCGTGTGGTTTATGAGTTATGGATATATTTCTGAACTCTAATAATATCATCATTATGAACAATGTTTTCATATTGCTCATTGTTAAGAAACAAATAATAACATTCAGGTAACAAATTACACAAGCAAAATGCTTGTTTCTTAACAAAATGTTTTTCATATGTATAAAAATGTTACCCTACCCCACCCACTTTAAACACTTATTTGACCATTTCTCTATATAAAAAACCCTATTTAAAATATCCCTAAAATTTACCACAATGAGTGGCTTTTTCCAAAGTTTGCTTAAATTTTCTTAAAAGTATATTGATTGATCATGCGAAATATAAAATACTTTAACTGTCCTGTTTTTAATTTATTCAACTTTGAAAATATCTGACTAATAACAGTAAATTTAAGTACCTTCGGTGTCAAAAGATATTTTGAAGTATATACTGGTACCATTTGTGTTTACTATTTTTTCTGTCCATGGGCCCGGATTTTATCACTTAATCCCTTCGATTTACAGCTAAAAATAAATTCGCATTCAAGAACTCCTTCCGATTTCTATTATATTGGTTTTCCCTTCGGTGATTCGCAGCATGTCATATTAATGGATGAGAACGGAAAGCAGTACTGCTGTACATTAACAATCGGAACGTCCTCGGCTATTATCTATAATAACCGCGGTAACAATACGGTTCTACCACGTGGTTTCAGATGTAAACAGAAACAGAGATTATGTAAAAGAAATGCATATATTTGACATCCAAAAGAAAAGTAATGCATGTCATGATTGAAAATATGTCTGACAACAATATGTAATTTAAACATGTCCGCTGATGTACAAATCCGACTAAATGTGAACAGGTTGGTTTTTTGTACTTTCGGTTTCTAAAACCATAATAATAAATATATTAATAATTTATTGTTTGTTTCTGTATCTATGAATTCACTTATTTTAGGTGGACTTTTACTACATATATTGGAAATAAACTTGTCAACAACTCCCAGCGTTAAATTACTAATTGTTTACATGTTTAGTTTCTTAGCGTAGGTTAGACCGAAATACCGCATCCGTTCTGTGTATTCATACTATTGTATTGGAAAGGGCTGAAAAGTTGCGATTGGTACATGAATTCGAAAGCTATAAATAGCTAGATGACCTAAACATTGTGAAAGTCCGAAAATCTATTTATAGAAGTAGTTTTAGTCTAAACGAAATGGTCATTCGTGTCGCGCTATTGTAATAAATAACGAACTTATCGAAAAAATTTAAGTAGGCCATTTTTTAGAAATGTGATATTATAGTGTTATCATTTTGAAATTGTCTTTTCCGTAGGTTCTTTCCAGTATAGCTCCTTTTTTTACCGCCCTGACAGCTGATTGCACTTCTGACATTTTTTACCGTGAATATTTAAATCGATCTGGATTTCTCGAATTTTTTCTTTAAGATGTTGACTCTATTTTGTTTGAATGCATTCGGTTTTGTGCCGAATACTGTGACATTTTAACAACGGAAACTTTGTTCTGCAGTTTGAACATGAAGTGTAATGTTTTTTTATAATTGTAAAGACAGAGAGTTTTAAAATAGTATATTGATCTCCCAATAAATCAATTAACAATTATAGCTTTTTATATATCACCAATGTCAAGTAGCTTTTATATCTTTGACTCGCACGAACATGATGTAAGTGAATTTCCTCATACCTGCCTAAAATTCAGGTAACAGTCTTCTATTATATTGTTGGATCATGGTTTGGGGACCTTTCTGTTGAAAATGTGTCAGAGTTAAATCGTATACATATACACATGCACAGTGCGTTAACTGGAGTGCAGGTATTATTTACCCGTACTCCAGAGCACGCCTATTGATTGGCTCATTTTTGCTGGGGTTTACTTATTGTGACGACAGAGAAAGGGAAAGCGACAGAAAAATCACATTCCGATGCTCGTTCATTGGTTCCTTTTTATCCGGGGTTTCATATTGTGACAACAGGGAACGTGTTTTTATGTTTGACTATGATACAAAAGAGAAAGAACATCAAAACACTCGGCAATCTGATTAATACTCGGGGGCTACGCCCCCTCGTACAAATTAGATAGCCTCGTGTTTCGATGCTCTTTCTATTACATAAATACTGTATCACCATGTAACGCGTGTATAACAAACAAAAAACCCTGAATTTGGTCTTTTTGAAATTCATCCCTTTATTCATTCCAGAGTGTGTTCTACTTTCAGTATTGAAAGAATCCATTTTTTTAATTTGACATGAAAAAAATGCATGTAATATTACTATATTTTATTTTATGCTTTTCAGTGGATTACTGATTTATCTGTGAAAATTATATTTGAAAATTTCACAGTTAACATTATCAAAATATAATTTCACACTTTTCAATGACGAAACTACTTTTTTAAGATTTTCCCCATGTGGTACCTCAATTTTATTTTTGCTGACAATTCTGACAATGTCAGGCTGCTTAAAGAAAAGTAAGGCTGAAATTGATAAATAACTAAAATGCCAAAAGTAATGAAAAGAAGAAAACTTACTTCTATTCATTCAAATAACCAATCACAAAATATCGTCTCTTTAATTTTTTTGTTTCATTTTTACTTCCACACGCAAAACTGTTCTTGATGACATTTGGGCATATTTAAGTATCCTACGAGCAATAACTGCCGTATGCTTTATGAAAATTTGAAAAGCAATGACAGCCATCAGCCCGAAGAATAAGTAAACAACCCAGCGTTCCTCAGCCAGCTTCCAAGTTTTCCATTTTCCTAGCTGCTTTTTTTAAATGTTTACACATCTGTCAACACTTATTCATTGTATGTTACAATCCTCGAATAAGTTGTCTTTCTTTTAAATATGTGTATGACTAACAAATCCAAATGATATCCCTCTGAATCAAACACAATTATTTTCCTCCAGTGAAATACACAACTTTTAAAAATGGCGGCCGCTTACATTTAACAAAGCCAGGTCTCATATAAATTCGCAGTAAGTAACAGAAATTTGGATGGATGGTTGGACTTTTTCTCCTACTAGAATTGTTTGTTTTTATTATTAAAACAAGAATTTGTAACAGAGTTACCAACGTCCCCCGCCTCGGGGAAGTTTTATATGAAGCATAAAATTGTGCTATTTCAAACGATTTAGTTATGGATTTCAGGACTTTCAGTCCAAAATTATGATCAATGCTAGATCTGCAAATGCAACAATAAATTTATTAAAGAAATACTAGTAAAATGAAACGCGGAATTTAAAATTCTATCATGTTAACCTTTGACCTCTAAGTGTGACCTTGACCTTGGAGGTAGGGGTGCAGGTGTTGTGCATGACATATCGTCTTATTAATATTACTATTTGTGCCAAGTATTTTCAAAATCCCTTGAACTATGTAGAAGTTATAGATCGAACACAAAATATACCATATAACACACTATGTCAATATTTGACCTCTAAGTGTGACCGTGGAGGTAGGGACCCATGTTTTGCGCCTGACATATCATCTTATTATTGTGATTATTTGTGCAAAGTATTTTTTAAATCCCAGGTTATGGACTGGACACAAAATATACCCTATAACAGACTATGTAAATCTTTGACCTCTACGTGTGACCTTGACCTTGGAGGTAGGGACACATGTGTTACGCATGACATATCATCTTATCATTGTGACTATTTGTGCCAAGTATTTTCAAAATCCCTTGATCTATGAAGAAGTTATAGACAGGACACAAAATAAACCATATAACAAACTCTGTTAAACTTTGACCTTTAAGTGTGACCTTGACCTTGGAGGTAGGGGTGCAGGTGTTGTACCTGACATATTGTCTTATTATTGTGACTATTTGTGCCTAGTTATTTCAAAATCCTGAAGAAGTACAAAATATACCCTAAAACAGACTATGTTAACTTTTGACCTCTAAGTGTGACCTTGAACCTGGAGGTAGGGATGCAGGTGTTGTGCATGACACATTGTCTTATCATAGTGACTATTTGTGGCAAGTATTTACAAAATCCTTTCATCAATAAAAAAGATATGGACCGGACACAAAATATACCCTGTAATAGACTATGTTAATCTTTGACCTCTAAGTGGGACCTTGACCTTGGAGGTAGGTGACCGGTTGTTGCGCATGACACATCGACTCATTATTGTGAACAACTGTGGCAAGTATTTACAAAATCCCTTCAAAGATAAGAAAGTTATGGACCGGACACGACATATATCATCAAATAGACAATGTTGACCTTGAATGAGCAAGTGCGACCTTGACCCTGGAGGTAGGCGTGTGGTTGTTGCGCATGACACATCATCTTATTATAACAAACATTTGTGCCAAGTTATTTTAGATTCCTTTGATAAATGAACGATAAACGCCCCCTCGTACAAATTAGATAGCCTCGTGTTTCGATGCTCTTTCTATTACATAAATACTGTATCACCATGTAACGCGTGTATAACAAACAAAAAATCCTGAATTTGGTCTTTTTGAAATTCATCCCTTTATTCATTCCAGAGTGTGTTCTACTTTCAGTATTGAAAGAATCCATTTTTTTAATTTGACATGAAAAAAATGCATGTAATATTACTATATTTTATTTTATGCTTTTCAGTGGATTACTGATTTATCTGTGAAAATTATATTTGAAAATTTCACAGTTAACATTATCAAAATATAATTTCAAATAGACAATGTTGACCTTGAATGAGCAAGTGCGACCTTGACCCTGGAGGTAGGCGTGTGGTTGTTGCGCATGACACATCATCTTATTATAACAAACATTTGTGCCAAGTTATTTTAGATTCCTTTGATAAATGAAAAAGTTATGGACCGGACACAAAATATACCCTTTAATAGACTATGTTAATATTTGACCTCCAAATGTAACCTTGACCTTGGAGGTAGGTGACCTGTTGTTGCGCATGACACATCGTCTCATTATTGTGAACAATTGTGGCAAGTATTATTTACAAAATCCCTTCAAAGATAAGAAAGTTATGGACCGGGCACGACATATATCATCAAATAGACAATGTTGACCTTGAATGAGCAAGTGCGACCTTGACCCTGCAGGTAGGGTGTGGTTGTTGCGCATGGCACATCATCTTATTATAACAAACATTTGTGCCAAGTTATTTTAGATTCCTTTGATAAATGAAAAAGTTATGGAACGGACACAAAATATACCCTTTAATAGACTATGTTAATATTTGACCTCCAAGTGTGACCTTGTCCTTGGAGGTAGGTGACCGGTTGTTGCGCATGACACATCGTCTCATTATTGTGAACAATTGTGGCAAGTTTTTACAAAATCCCTTCAAAGATAAGAAAGTTATGGACCGGACACGACATATATCATCAAATAGACAATGTTGACCTTGAATGAGCAAGTGCGACCTTGACCTTGGAGTTAGGGGTCTGATTGTTGCGCATGACACATCGTCTTATTATAACAAACATTTGTGCCAAGTTATTTCAGATTCCTTTGGTAAATGACAAAGTTATGGACCGGACACGAAAGTGTGACGGACGGACGGACAAACGGACGGAGCCTATTACTATATCCCCCTTTTTTCTTCGAAAAGGCGGGGGACAACAAGCGATCATTCATATTTTTTAATAAAATGAATAATATCACCGACATTTAATGTTGAGTGTCGAACTTGATGTTAGCGCAAGAAACACATTGGCAGTAACAAAAGTTATCATAAGGACTCCAGGACATACTTTGAGTTATCACAAGAACTCCGAGACATATGAAAAATCGGGTATAAATTTGTTAGGCGGGGCTTCATGTTTGCAATTTTGCAGTATAATTAGGTAATTATGTATTGCAAGGATGAAGACTTGAAATAAACAGGCCAATACTTGCGAAATGGCAAATAATTTGGAAATTTTACTAAAAACTACCAGATTTTAAGCAAGAGGCGATGAAAATGGACTATGAATTAGTTTTTGACACATAATGTAAGGCAAGCTTAATCATAAAAGATTAATTTAGCCCAAAAACTCACTTTTTAAAGATGAAAATTACCATTTTTGACGAGTGTTTTGCAGTATATACAATAGTTTTCCGACGAACTCCGTGACAGTTATCACAAGAACTCCTTGACAAGTCTAACACTTCCTCCCCCGTGATGGATGTATTGTACTTACTGAATTTCACATTGAATATAAATTGTGCTAGTTCAATATTAAATTCGTTTGACATGTTCATGTTTGGAGATATCCATACTTAAGTACTTTTATAATATTATTTCTATAATTGCTCATTCTCATTAGAAATATGGTTTTCAAATTGAAGGGTTAGGCACCAGGGTGCTGCATGCTTGCCAGAACAGGCATGTGGAAAGCAATGTGTGCCTTGTTGTTTAGTTTTTCTTTTGGTAATGAGTTGTTCGTCTGTCGAAACACTATCAACACCAGACTTAAACAATATACTCAGTGCTGGCAGTTTGCTGTATTGTGAATTGCTAACTTCTCATCTGATGAAAGACCACGTGTTCTTTGAACCACAAGAAATGCCTCAATTTATAATAAACAATCAAAGAAAGTTTTGTGTAAAACACAAACAGGAACAATCTGGCCCCAAAATAGGAATGTCAAGAAAGGACCTGGTAAGGGGGATAATAGTCTGACTACCTATGCTTTACAATTTTCGGGCTTGCCGCATACAGCACTTTCAGTGCTTTGATTATTTTCACAACAGTAGCCACCTGTATATCATGTACCGGTTCATAATTGGAAATGAATTTCCTTTCTTATTTAGGAGGACCTAGAAAAATATCCAAATTATAAAGCTAAAGATGAACAGAACTTGCAGAAGAGAGGAGGGCGATGTTCACGTACTAGTAACACATCACCGGAATGCGGCAATTGTCAGGTAATAATAAATCAGGTTTAACGTCCATCGCAGGATGGTAGGAAATCTTTTTGTAGACAAATACTTATATTAAATAAACACTCAAACAATATGTGGCTTCCATAAACGAAAAGTAACAGTCGCTCACTTCGAATCGCTTGCAACTTACCGTCCCAGGTTCAAACACAACTAGGAACTTTTGATGCTTTCATGTGAGGAAGCCATCCAGCTAGCAGGTTTATTTCAGGCGTCCGTTTAATTCATCCTGAAATAATGGACGCAGCTGTACTTTGATTTCTCTTTACGATAGATTTGGCTGTCAGCAAACTAACAAATGTTATCAACTTTTAAACATTTTCCAACTATTTTAGACAAGCAAATGGCAAAATTGTGCCGAATTGAGAGACTCTTTCGGCAGATATACTTTTTAAAGGAGTATCTTTACTGATGTCTCAGAAAACTTGTCTTCATCCCAAATTCTGAAAAACTAAACCCTCTTAACACAATACTTCATGTTGCATTGCATCAAAACAGTTGCAAGCCCTACGATCGCCGTCATACGAACACATTTATTGATGCTATGAAAGTTGATTGATCTACAAAGCGTACATTTTCCATCAGAATTTCAAATATTGATAAAAAACAATATAATTGTGTCATTTTTATATTGTTAAATATATTGCTTGAAAAAATGTTAAAAGAGTAAAGTTATTTAGTATGAAAATTTAAATGATGAATTATTTTTTTTTGTTCTAGAACAGTTTATCATCTGCTATATAAATACATGTATATGTAATATCGGATCATTTATGTCATACTTGCCAATAATATCCATAAACATTTTTTATAGTTGGTGTAATATCTGATACTTAATTCTATCAACTTATTATTTATTGTATTACAGACCTCCCATTTATAGACTAGTTTGATATATAAAAGTCTGCAGAAGGCGTGGACGGTACCTTGTAGTTATCACTATCCGTTGATGAACAGTGTTAAACACACCATTTTCACATTTTTGGTCAACCTTTAAGTTTCTATTTTAGTATGCTTATTCCATATATTTGAACAATCTTTCTATTTGTGTCCTTATCACATTTCACATGGAAGCATGAAGATCTAATAGAATTGTGATTTTATTCATTTGTAGAAACATCTTTTTTCCTTAATTATATAGGCCTGCATTCGTCCGTGGTCAGTAAAAGTTACACTAGATGGAGAACCGTATGACAAAGAAACATATAGGGTTGGTAATCGTTTTTCTTATATTTTCAAGAAAATAAAACGTTGAAGATGCTTGAAAAAATTCATGTCAAATTTATGTCGATGGTAAGTAAGCCAAGTAACATCATATATTCAGAGATGACATTAAATCACGGTTCACTATCCAGTCTAAATCTTTGTTTACAATTCAGCCTTTGTTGCTCATATATTATGGTTGATAAACTTGCTTCAGTTCTCCTTGAGTCAAGAATTTGGCGTGAAATGTTTACCCAACAGCAAACAACCTATTGAAAATAGTATAGAAATGACGAATTATTATATTTGTATCACTTATTTCATTCATATCATGTATCTGACATGGTGTACGTACCTATTATTGATAAACCAGGAATTTGTGTAATTTATGTCATGTTACAGGTTTTTGATATTTTCTTTTCATTCTCAGAGAAGTAGGAAAAAAGGAAGCCCAGATGTAAACCCCGTCGTGTATTACATTGGAAGCAGATGTCATGAAAGATCCGAGCTATATCATGATATCTTCCACTTTGACTATGCACTTCATCATAAATGCATTAAAAAGGTAAAACAATTGAATTGTGCGACATACAGATTTTTCTATTTTGAGTGAAGTTGGAATCAAGACATACCTAGAAAATGCTTATTAATTTTTGATTATGATCTTTTACTATATAACACTTTTTTTAAATGATGGCAATGCCATATTTTAGAAATAAACATGTGGATATTGTTTTACAAAAAAAAACCTATATTAATTATAATAATTATCGTGTATTGAAGTACATGTAGTTGTTTAAGGTAAAATGTTTAAAGATCCTGTATGTTGTAATTGAGGTTGTATACCACACTTAAGTGAAATTATATATATGTATATACTTATGCTTATAAACAATTTTCAAACATCGAAGAATATGTAAAATATGTACTGCAAATATTTGTACATATTATATGTAATCATTAAAATATTTGCATTAATTTCTTATTGAAAATTTTGACTTGGACTTTATAGAAAATTTACAAAACTTACAAAATTGATAAGTCTTAATTTGAGCATCATATTTATGATATAAAACCATAAAAAATTGTGTTAAGAATCTTACACTAATTAATTAACAATCTTTTTATTACACATCTTAGTCGAGGCCATATGTGCATTTTTACCTGCCTATTTGTGTCATTATTTGTTCTTCGCATGTCATTTTACTTTGCATTGAAAGATCATAATTATTTGATCGGGTGATCATATTATCATGATCGGGGAATTTATATTCTTCTAAAATAAGGACATGATTCTACTTTCACAGCTTCTTATTCAAGTGGTTTTGGCAAACAAAATAAAACTTTGATGACCCATCAGCCCGTCTCTTAGTATCCTATCTGTTCAGTCGCTACGTGAGATTTACAGTGCTTACTTAAATTTGCTACCCCATTAAAATAAAAATTACCATAGAAAACTTTGAAATTTTATACTACCTATTCATAATGTAGCCCCGGAACTAAAATATATATTACGATATATAAGGCATTATCTTAACAATATTAATGACGTAAGTAATACGCATATATGAATTACATCATAATGTCAAGTGTTGATATTTGTTTCTTGATATTTTAGATGAAGGACGTGGATGGGAACAAAATTGAAAAAGTGACTAAAGGCTTGTTTGTTGAGGTAATAGTGGATTATTTAATATACGAACTACTCTCGTCCGAAATGTACCTAGCTTATTCTTCGCAGAAACATACCTCATAGGAAATTATTATATACTCACAGCCGGATTTACTTGTTTATAGGCAACTGCACCCATGCAATTAAACTCCCGCTTATCCTCTTTTAGATATAGACATTCGACACAACATGCTCAAGATGAGCTATTGTGATACCCCTGTGTTCTACTTAAGTAATATCTCCTACTGCACCAATAGTGATAAACAGAAATGATCCTCGGTTAGACCTGTTCAAAATTTGCTCATCGTGTTCTGATCTGCTGATCTGATCTATATATAAATATATGCATACATTTAAATAAATAAATAAGTAATAATAAATTAAATAAGTAAATAAATAAATGATACAAAATAAATAAATAGAAAACATTGTTAAATGACATCAATTAGTCAATAGATTTTGATGAAACTTTGCTGAAAATGATCACTAGAATAGCTAAGAATAGACTCAACGCCTCCTTAACTGTGAAGTGGACTTTGATGAATCTATATAGGAATGATTCTCGGATAGTCCCCATAGTCAGAGATGAAAAAAAGGAAAAACCTTCAAAAGATATCTCCTCTTTGACTATTGGGTAATTTTTTATGAAACTAAACGTGTCCTTTACATGTCTTGTTCACGTGTACCATATACTAAGGTGAGCAATTTAATGCCATCATAGCCCTCTTGTTTTCAACATTTAAAGTGAAATAACCAAGAACGCTTTTGTTGAACTTATCTTGTCAATATTAAAATTAGTTTTAATTTTATTTTACTTTACATGTATTTATAGTTTTATGTCATTTATATTTTAATATAGCTCAAAACTAAGTTATTTTTAGCACAATATATATCCGGTAACGCCGAATGTGAAAACAACGCACGATTCGTGCAATAAGTAACGCAGAAATGTGCAATAAATGGCGTATACCAAACAGGATTTCCAACACGGCAAGAAAACTGGCCAATATATTTTTCATTTAACCGAACTGAAAAAAAATCAATAGCTGCATACGGCTGCAAAGGCATTACTTTTCTACCCTCATCAAGATTATTTCCACGAAATTGTTTACTTTTCAAGATCATTCGTGAAAATGATGACTTGACTACCGTTTTGTGCGATATTTTGGCTTTTTGTCGACTCTTATAGGTACAACAATGCATATTATACGGTATAATTTCGATTTTAGGTAGACACGTGACAGTTACTAAACTTCTGGTGATATAAAAAATTGAAATAAGCTGATAAAATAGGATTCAAGTCGTTTTTTTTAGGTAACGCCGATGTACGTGAATAGTGCGGTAACGCCGGAAAACGTGATTTTTTCATATATGGTACTGAACTTTTACACAGGTTTTACGCCATTAATCGCCGAGTATCAAAACTTTTAAATATATTTTTCTGGGGGAATTTTTAAATCACTTTATACAGAATTTATTTTAGTTTGATTGCATGGAAAAAAGACACATTCTCGAATCAGTCCCTGAAATAACAGAGCTATAAGTGTCGTTATATAAGTCTTTGTTGAAGTGAGTACGAAGCAATGCGAAAAAAAAATTCTTACTCAAAGAAACAACGGGGTAGCAATTTCTCAATACCTATTGAGATGGAAGTTATGAAAATGGACTTTGTTAAATTATAGAATTTTTCATTGTTCTCACTCTTTATTGATTATTTGACATGGAGAAGTCCACTTTTAGACAGAACTTCTTGGCATATCCTCTATTAGATTACGATGAAATTTTCAACAAACACATCTCTAGTAGCTGTCCATATACATGTACATTGAGTTAAGAAACCAAAAACCAAAATATATTCAACTTATCTTTAGTCTATGTGACCTTTTACCTGGTAAATTTACGAAATGGATTTGCTCAGCTGTGAACTTGGAACAGTTCATTCAAAGTCTGAGAGATTGGTATTAGATATTTAATGTATTTGTAGAAATGAACTACCTGAGTGAGCAAATGGTCACTCTGTATGGATGTGACCTGGCTCTGTACTGGTGGCCTTTTTAGGGTCATTAGTCCTGTTAGTTTTGTAAACGTCTATAGTAATGCCTAGCATAAACTCTTACGGTAGATTCATATGATTTTCCCATACAAGTTATAACATATAATAAGAAACCATAAGAGTAGGGTGAATCTTTACCCCATGGGTTATAATTTATTTAACTTTAGCAGAGGACAATAAGGTTTTGCTTTTACAAGCTTTGGGCATTATAGTTTCTAAGTAAAATATCTTTTGAATACAAATTACTTCCTAATATAAGAGAAAAAATAAATTAAATAAATAATCCATTTTCACAGAAGTTCACCAGGCAAATTGCTACAGCCAAATATTTGTTTTGGTTGGGTTACACATCACGCCAACACAATATATGGAGACTTTCAAGCTTTACTGGTGCATTATTTCAGGTAAAAAATATACAGACACTTATTCTCTTGATTGTTTCTACTATTTTTATATTCAATTTATTTGCAAGCTAAGTTTATTGTTCTTAATTTCTAACAAGATCAGACGTTGGCAGCATGTTCACAAATAATAATTTTATTTCAGGAAACAGTTGTCAAATTGTACTAATTACAATATGCAATCAAAATATTGAAAGTTTGTCAAGCTCTAATTATCATATATTTCTTAATAAGTTACGAAGAAAATACCTTGATTATAGGCCGCAAATAATTGATAATATTCGCCGATAAAAGGTGTTACACCTGTGTAATAATTCTGCACCAAATAAGAAAAAAAAACCCCACATTTTCCGGCGTTACCGCAAAGCACAATTCACGTACATCAGCGTTACCTCATATAAACGGCTTGAATCACATTTTATCAGTTTATTTTCAATGTTTTATATCACAATAAGTTAAGTTTATGTCACTTGCCTACTGAAAATCTAAATTATACGGAATAATATGCATTGTTTTACTTATAAGAGTCGACATCTCGCACAAAACGGTGGTCAAGCCACCATTTTCACGAAAGATCTTGAAAAGTAAACAATTTCGTTGAAATAATCTTGATGGGGGATAAAGAGTTATGTCTTTGCAGTGGTATGCAGCTTTTTATTGTTGACAGCTCGGTTAAATAAAAAAATATATTGGCCAGTTTACTTACCGCGTTGAAAAATGCTGTCAGGTAGCCGCCATTTATTGCACAATTTTGCGTTACTTATTGCAAGAATCGTGCGTTAATTTCACATTCCGGGGTTACAGGATATACCCGGTGTTTATGCATTTAGCAAACTTGACATTATACACCTTGCATAGTGTTTGGATTTTAAATTTTATTTAAGATACCATGAAATCTATTTTCCACGATGGCACAAAGGTGACATTTGTGCGTTTTTATTTATCTCGTGCGCACGAGATACTATGTCGTGGCCAGGAGTTACTAAGTCGCGGCCACGATATAACTTAGTCGTGCGCACGAAATACTATGTAGTGGCCACGAGTAATTTAGTCGTGGTCACAAGATAAGTAAGTGGTGCCCACGTGATACTAAGTCGTGACCACGAGTTACTAAGTCGTAGCCACGAGATACTTAAGTGGTGCACACGAGATACTATGTCGTGGCCACGTGTTACTCAGTCGTGGTCACGAGATACTTAAAGGTCCTGTATGCACACTTAACCCATTACTGCATGAGCTTTTTGTGAAAAATGGCTGTTTTCATTGAAAAGTCTCCCGTTACAAGTTCAAATTGCTATAAAACTATAAAAACTGCTTCAATACTAATCAAACTTGGCACAAATGTTGACTGGACCATTGCCGTTGTAACAACATGCTCAGTCTTTAATTTCCTGTTACCATGGCAACGAGGGGATATCTCAAAATTGCTAAAAATCACTATTTTTCGTTGATTTTTTTCCATCAAAACCGATTTCAAAGTGCTGCAACTTCTCAATGGATTCAGATAGAGTCCGAGGCTTTTCAGCGTTGGTTACACGTTACCTTATAATCGACCTTGGGTCATGTTTAGCCTCTCACAAGTCCAAAATTTTCTTGGCGATGAAGGGGACTGCCGCCCCCTTCAAACCCCCAAACACAAGGGGGCACATCCCTCTTCTGGCAACCCCCTGATGTACCTTTTTGTTTGGTAGCGGCGCCGAAAAAGTGATAACTTTATTAACATGTGTTTTGGGCACAAACATGACATATTTTCACTATTTGAGGCCTAAAAGAGGGGGGGGGGGGTCGCGTATATATGGGGTAAAGAGTAAAGGGTTAAGTGAATTTTTATATATGTATATAATTATGCTTCTAAAACAATTTTCAAACACCGAAGAATATGTAAAATATGTACTGCAAATATTTGTCCGCATGATATGTAATCATTAAAATATATGCATTCACTTCTGTTTGAAAAATTTGACTTAGACTTTACAAACAATAAATTTCTAATAACCCCCTTTATTGTCCCCCGCCTTTTCGAAGAAAAAGGAGCGATATAGAAATAGGCTCCGTCCGTCTGTCTGTCCATCCGTCTGTCCGGCCGTCCATCCGTTCGTCACACTTTCGTGTCCGGTCCATAACTTTGTCATTTATCAAAGGAATTTGAAAAAACTTGGCACAAATGTTTGTTATAATAACACGATGTGTCATGCGCAACAACCAGACCCCTACCTCCAGGGTCAAGGTCGCTTGCAGTTGCTCATTCAAGGTCAACATTATCTATTTGATGGTATAAGTCGTGTCCGGTCCAGAACTTTCTTATCTTTGAAAGGAATCTGTAAATACTTGCCACAATTGTTCACAATAATAAGATGATGTGTCATGCGCAACAACCGGTCACTTACTTCCAAGGTCAAGGTCACACTTTGAGGTCAAAGATTAACATAGTCTGTTATAGGGTACATTCTGTGTCCGATCCATAACCTTTTCATAGATCAAAGGATTTTGAAAATACTTGGCACAAATAGTCACTATAAGAAGACGATGTGTCATGCGCAACATCTGCCTCCCTAGCTCCAAGGCCAATGTCACACTTAGAGGTCAAAAATAAACATAGTCTGTTGGTTTATACAAAATTTTAGTTCGATTGTGTTGGAAGCTATAAGCTTATTGAAACACTCTCAAATCCGTTCCTGGAACCAACCAGTACTAAGCAATGAATGTAAGTTTCTTGCTCAAGGAAACAACGGCTTGCCCATGACGGTTTGACCCCACGCGGTCAGCAATCCTTAGATTACTAGTCCGACGCGTTAACCCACTCGGCCACGCCGCCACACAAGTCTGTTAAAGGGTATATTTTGTGTCCGATCTTCATAGTTCAAGGGATCTTAAAATAACTTTGCAAAAATAGTCACAATAATAAGAGGATATGTCATGCACAACACATGCACCCCTACCTCCAAGGTCAAGGTCACACTTAGAGGTCAAAGATTAACATAATCCGTTATAGGATATATACATGTATTGTGTCTGAGTTATAACTTCTTCATAGATCAAGGGATTTTGAAAATACTTAGCATTAATAGTTACAATTATAAGACGATATGTCATGCACAACACTGCACCCCTACCTCCAAGGTCAAGGTCACACTAAGAGATCAGAGCTTAACATGATTTTTAAATTCTGTGTTTCATTTTATTTCTTTAATAAATGTATTGTTGCATTTGAAAATCTAGCATTGATCATAATTTTGGCCTGAAAGTCCTGAGATCCATACCTCAATCATATAAACCTTCCCTGAGGCGGGGGACGTTGGTAACTCTGTTATAAATTCTTGTTAACATGAAATGTAAATTCGGTGATATCGAAATTATTTACAAATAATGCTTCTTTGGAACTTACAATATTGATAAATCTTTATTTAAACATTATATTTATGATATAAAAACACAAAAAAATTAGTAATTTTTCATATATTTTAGATGTACAAAGATTGGAAGAGGTTAATGACACAGACAAAGAAATATACCGGTAAATGAAATTATTAACGAAGGCACGCACATTCGATGTCTGGAGTTTCTTAATGTATAAACGGCATCCGACATAAATTCAAAATGTTATTTTGTTTAGTTTGAACCCCCTCCCTCAAAAGCCCCTAATACCCCCCTCCCCCCAAAAACACAAAAAAAAGAAACCGACAAAAAAAAAACACCAACAACAAAAAAAACAACAAAACAACACACACACACACGCACGCACGCACGCACGCACGCACGCAACACACACACACACACACACACACACACACACACACACACACACACACAAAACGCAAATTACCAGCTACTTTGTATATATATATATATATATATAAACAATATATGTTATATAAAAACACTACCAAAAGAGGATATAGAAAATGACTTTTGCTAGAACTGAACAAAGTTCATGGACATCTAAGGATCAAATTTTAATCTAACACATCTAAATTTCCATACCACATGCTGCAGGTCACTTGACGGAAACAATTTAACTTGATGTCCAAATTCAATTGATGCAGCTTTAAACTAACCATTTCTTATTCATATATAATGTTTGAGCTTTGTTATATATAATTGAAATAATTTGCTCACTGTACCTGGCGAATTAAAAACCAATTATTTTGCGTCCTTGATTTGAATAACCTTTGTAGAGGATGATTAAGATGATGCTACCAAATTTAAAAAAGCCATAGGCAGTGTTTTTGTAGACATTGTTATTTTTATTACTATATACATACAGCTATACCAAATGATATCTTGGAGAGACAAACTTTTAAGGGACATTAGTTAGAAGAACTTTGTAAATGAACATTACACAATGCTAAAATATTGCTTAATCAATATGTTAATACTAAGCATCTACATTTGTTGATGTCCGATAATGCAATTTTTTATTACGATTATTACTACATGTATATATTTCAAATTGTGACCCCATTTTTACGGTTCCGTCAAACTCAGTATACGACTTCTGTAGTCTTTGCATTTTGGAGTCTTTTAAATATTTCAAATAAGTGTTCAGCATTGCATCTCTGTAATACATCAGATGAACGGGGGCCTGGGTATTTCCGGTGCAAAATATTATGCTTCTAAAACTTTTGTATTGTTATTATTACAATAATGATTTAAACGAATGCATTATGCAATAGTTAAGAATTACAGTACTAGTCTGTCAGTGTCATCTCACAGTGTACTTTTTGTTGTAAAGGTCAGACTATCGTATTGTAACATACAAGTGCAGAGAAATCCGTAAGATTCAATGGGACATAAGGTAATTGAAAAAAGATGGGATAAAATTATGTATAAAAACTAATTTAGAAACTAAATTACATTATTTTCTTAAGAAAAAGAAATATTTCATAAGTCTCTAGGATAATTTTGACTTTGATATTTGTATTTATAAAAGTATATTCAGCTGAAAATTTCAATAAAAAGCGGGGTAATTCTCTTTGAAGTCAATTCGCAAGAATTTGATTGGCTACCCCTATATATAACAAGATCATTTTTATGTGTCAGACATTTCATTATCCTTGAAAACTCACCTCTTTAGCACGAAAACTCAAGTTTAAGGTAGGAATAGGGGCCATTTCTCATTATAATATAAGTCTATAGGGAAAACCAGCATCATAGTCTGGCCTAAAGTTGTTACCATTTGTATGATTCCATCGAAATAAACTAATATTTTATTTTCGTAGCGCTGTTGTTGTACTGTTTCAACTATGTAACATAATAAAATACGCACGTATATCAGAATGTGAGATTATACGCATGTTGACTTATAATACTGTACGTTTTGATCGTCATTTTTCATACGGTAGTTGTAACGCTTATAATTATGATCTATATACATGTACTGTCGTTTTACGAAAAAAATCGTTTTTTCTTATAATGTGGTGGTGCTGTCGTGGGGTTGGAGTTTTCACTCCGGATCACGGCAGTAAGCCACATTGATTCTGTCTGGGAATTCACAGTCAAACGCTTTATCTATTAAGCTAAGTGGCCGGCACCTCTTTTCTTATAATAAATGTAATTATGTTGTTTTATAAATTCGTAATAAAGATGTCTGACAGCTTATAATTAATATGACTGTGTATAAACGGTTATTTGAAATATAACACTCGCAAAGAGGCTCGCATATTATTACAATAACATATTTATTTTTCAATTAACTAATTTTTATGACAGTCTAAAAAACTCTGTTAATTTAACTTTAATTTAATCAGTCTTAAGTTAGATCCATATTTTAAACTATTTTTTTTTTAAATCAGATAACATGACATTTTATCATAGTATTGAGTGGTCAGTGTTTTATATAAGACCTGTTCATGTATATTTTATTGACAGATAACAAGAGTGTTTTAATTTTTAGCTGTTGAGATATAGATAATGTATGTTACAAAATGTTATATTTTTAATGTAAGTCTCGTATATATATATATTTGGATTTATTCAGATTGTCAATGCACAGCTTTTTATGTACATTAATCTTTGTATGTCAGGTATATACTTTAATATGATTTTGTTAAAAAATAAATATATGTGTGTTAAATGTGATAATCAGTTCAAGAAATTGTATGATATTTAGTTAAACATTAAGAACTTTGCCAGGATGTTCTTTGCAAAATCTTCCGTTCATATTGTAAGTACTTTGCAGTATGGGCCGAGGAGTTGTCTCCCTTGTCATTATGATTGTAGTCTCTTATAATTTTCATCAGAATGACCGTACAAGCAACTTTATGATTTTATGTTTTAAGATTTGTGATTGAAATGCTGCACATGTTGTTTTGTATAAATCAGAAATTAATAAAGATTATATATATATATATTAGCTAACAATTATTCAGAGCCATATAACCTATTATATATCATTATACCAAAATGATAATATAGCCTGAATGACTACTGGGTAATAGAATTTATTTAATAAGCATGATCTGAGAATACTTTTAATGAATTTCTTTTTACTTAAACCTACGCCATTTTTTTTAAAAAAATGGCCTTTTTTAAAATAATTTTCTGGCTCAGTGAACAAAGGGGACACAAAAACCTGAGTTCTGTGATAGTTTGTATTATTGCAATGTATAAATTTCTTCCCTTCCCTTGAAAGGACATGAGATATCCAAATAAATAAATAAATAAAAAAAAATAATCAAGGGACATATATTTCGAAAACGCGGTCGCTGACCCCAATATTATTTCGTTTTCAATGTTTCTGTGACCATATTCTTAGAACATGCAAAGTTTATTTAAATTCTATTAAATTGAGAGCGTTGTACTCAATCTGTTGTTTGTTTATATGTTACTGCAGAATACGCCTTTGAACATTTTGTTTCATTTAGAACTTTTAATTGGATACTAATTAGATACTGAGGCATAAATATAATTTGTACACGCACCTAAAATCGAGCATGATTGACTTTTCATAATCACAGGACATTCAGATAGCTTATGGTTATTTAGTACATTTTTATATTTTTTAATCATTCTTTCATTTTTATGTGATTTTACCCATTTCCTTTGATATCTTTTAAATTTCGAACCTTTAATTAATTCTAAAATATAAATTATCAATAGAAAATTTTAAAATCAAAGCACTATTTTCAGATTTATCAAATTAATTTAATTCCGCCTTTAGGGAGTCTATGGTAGTGTTGTTAACTCTTTGCCCAATCTTTTGTCTTCATACTTCACCAATATGGAATGCAAATTGTAATAAAATTGTAAATTGTGTGTAAACATGTATTTATACAATAAAATGTTTTCAAACTAAAACACTTATAGAGTTGAATGGCGGCAATATAAACAAACCGATACCAATTCATATTTCCAAGGTAGTTCTCTTGTTAAAGTCGAATTAAAGCAGTACAAGCGCACAGTTTCTCTCCACGTTATATATTCACTTCATTTGCTCACCTCGGTTCTGAAGCAATGCAGAATGGTGATTTGGTGTGACATGTAATTTTATCGCTTAAATCGGCCCATTTTTTATTATTCGGTTCGGAGGTACATAAACTTGTACAAGACTTGCAAATAATGTTTTTAACTGAAATAACTTCAAAAAAGAAAGAAAATTAAATAAAAATCATTATTGAGAAGTGTCATAGCAGTTAATTTTCCACACCTGTAATATGAAATGTAACCAATAAACTTCCTTGGTTTGCAACACGTGATCCTCCAATGTGAATCATTCTTTGACCCAATTCTATCGATTTGGCCATGTTTTATTTAAAGACTTTATAATATATATCACGTAATCCATCTTGACTGGTTTTTTCAATTTCCGAGTCCAAAAGATCCATATCAAATCCATTTTATACTCTCTTAAGTAGACAAGGCGCTTGTCGACTCTAATATAGTTTTGCAGCTGTGTAGAGTCTAAAAAGAACCAGTGTTTGTATTTAACAATGTATAATGACCTATTTATTTCGCATCACTTTTTCTCATTTTGACAGAACTTTGTTACTTGTACTACAATAGTGATTTTGTGTAGATTTTTGGACTCTAGAAATAAAAAAGAGCCTAAACGAAGTACAACAGTGATGTAATATGTTTTTTTTTTACTTTTGAAATTAATATGAGGCCAGATGGAGTTCATAAGTGATTTCTTTGGAATTTTGTGGACTCTCGGAAATGCAAACGTGGCTAAATTGATAACATTGCAACCAAAAGTGATTTATATTTTGGAATCACAAGGTGCAAATATACTGATAATTCATCGGCTACATTTTATTCAGAGTGAAGTAACATATTAATGGGTTTTCGTCTTTGAATGAAAGTTATAATGGGATCCTATTTATGAAATATCTGCACCTAAAAGTTTTTTTTATCTTTTAGGACACTTTCAAGGGTAAATTACTCCAAAATGTGCAAAGCAACACCTTCTGTGATATAAAATGTCTGTTTGATAGTTTATTCTCTGTCATGGCGCAAAATATGCTGAAATTTTATGCGACAGATTTCATTCTATAATTGCTTATGCGAAATCACAATCGAAAACATAGGCTCTTGTCCATTACCTTAGATAAGAGACATAAAAGCCGAGGAGATTAGATTGGCGAAATAATAAAAAAATCCTTTTTTGAGTTGTGCCATTTATTATGTTTACTCGTTGAAGCAAAGCAAAAAACATTTTAGTTAGAATTCCATGTATTTTTAATTCCCATGATAACTGAAAATTTAATGACA